TATAGATATAAAATCGATATTTTTTTTGAAAATAGCCTACTATGATCAAAACCAAAAATGCTTTAAATTGCATTTTAAAACATATCTAGGTATTATAAATGATAAAGAATACTAATATAGAAAATAGCCTACAAATCGAAACCAAAAATGCTTTAAATTGCATTTTAAAACATATCTAGGTATTATAAATGATAAAGAATGCTAATATAGAAAATAGCCTACAAATCGAAACCAAAAATGCTTTAAATTGCATTTTAAAACATATCTAGGTATTATAAATGATAAAGAATGCTAAATTAGATTAGAATCGATATTTTTTTTGAAAAAAACCTACTATGATTAAAACCAAAAATGCTTTAAATTGCATTTTAAAACATATCTAGGTATTATAAATGATAAAGAATGCTTATATAGATATAAAATCGATATAATTTTTTTAAAACTAGCCTACTATAATTAAAACCAAAAATGCTTTAAATTGCATTTTAAAACATATCTAGGTATGATAAATGATAAAGAATGCTAATATAGAAAATAGCCTACAAATTGAAACCAAAAATGCTTTAAATTGCATTTTAAAACATATCTAGGTATTATAAATGATAAAGAATGCTAATAAAGATATAAAATCGATATTTTTTTCGAAATAGCCTACTATGATCGAAACCAAAAATGCTTTAAATTGCATTTTAAAACATATCTAGGTATTATAAATGATAAAGAATGCTAATATAGATTAGAATCGATATTATTTTTGAAAATAGCCTACTATGATCGAAACCAAAAATGCTTTAAATTGCATTTTAAAACATATCTAGGTATTATAAATGATAAAGAATGCTAATATAGATTAGAATCGATATTTTTTTTGAAAATAGCCTACTATGATCGAAACCAAAAATGCTTTAAATTGCATTTTAAAACATATCTAGGTATTATAAATGATAAAGAATGCTAATATGGATATAAAATCGATATTTTTTTTGAAAATAGCCTACTATGATCAAAACCAAAAATGCTTTAAATTGCATTTTAAAACATATCTAGGTATTATAAATGATAAAGAATGCTAATATGGATATAAAATCGATATTTTTTTTGAAAATAGCCTACTATGATCAAAACCAAAAATGCTTTAAATTGCATTTTAAAACATATCTAGGTATTATAAATGATAAAGAATGCTAATATGGATATAAAATCGATATTTTTTTTGAAAATAGCCTACTATGATCAAAACCAAAAATGCTTTAAATTGCATTTTAAAACATATTTAGGTATTATAAATGATAAAGAATGCTAATATGGATATAAAATCGATATTTTTTTTGAAAATAGCCTACTATGATCAAAACCAAAAATGCTTTAAATTGCATTTTAAAACATATCTAGGTATTATAAATGATAAAGAATGCTAATAAAGATATAAAATCGATATTTTTTTCGAAATAGCCTACTATGATCGAAACCAAAAATGCTTTAAATTGCATTTTAAAACATATCTAGGTATTATAAATGATAAAGAATGCTAATATAGATTAGAATCGATATTATTTTTGAAAATAGCCTACTATGATCGAAACCAAAAATGCTTTAAATTGCATTTTAAAACATATCTAGGTATTATAAATGATAAAGAATGCTAATATAGATTAGAATCGATATTTTTTTTGAAAATAGCCTACTATGATCGAAACCAAAAATGCTTTAAATTGCATTTTAAAACATATCTAGGTATTATAAATGATAAAGAATGCTAATATGGATATAAAATCGATATTTTTTTTGAAAATAGCCTACTATGATCAAAACCAAAAATGCTTTAAATTGCATTTTAAAACATATCTAGGTATTATAAATGATAAAGAATGCTAATATGGATATAAAATCGATATTTTTTTTGAAAATAGCCTACTATGATCAAAACCAAAAATGCTTTAAATTGCATTTTAAAACATATCTAGGTATTATAAATGATAAAGAATGCTAATATGGATATAAAATCGATATTTTTTTTGAAAATAGCCTACTATGATCAAAACCAAAAATGCTTTAAATTGCATTTTAAAACATATTTAGGTATTATAAATGATAAAGAATGCTAATATGGATATAAAATCGATATTTTTTTTGAAAATAGCCTACTATGATCAAAACCAAAAATGCTTTAAATTGCATTTTAAAACATATCTAGGTATTATAAATGATAAAGAATGCTAATATGGATATAAAATCGATAATTTTTTTTGAAAATAGCCTACTATGATCAAAACCAAAAATGCTTTAAATTGCATTTTAAAACATATCTAGGTATTATAAATGATAAAGAATGCTAATATAGAAAATAGCCTACAAATCGAAACCAAAAATGCTTTAAATTGCATTTTAAAACATATCTAGGTATTATAAATGATAAAGAATGCTAATATGGATATAAAATCGATATTTTTTTTGAAAATAGCCTACTATGATCAAAACCAAAAATGCTTTAAATTGCATTTTAAAACATATTTAGGTATTATAAATGATAAAGAATGCTAATATGGATATAAAATCGATATTTTTTTTGAAAATAGCCTACTATGATCAAAACCAAAAATGCTTTAAATTGCATTTTAAAACATATCTAGGTATTATAAATGATAAAGAATGCTTATATAGATATAAAATCGATATTTTTTTTGAAAATAGCCTACTATGATCAAAACCAAAAATGCTTTAAATTGCATTTTAAAACATATCTAGGTATTATAAATGATAAAGAATGCTAATATAGAAAATAGCCTACAAATCGAAACCAAAAATGCTTTAAATTGCATTTTAAAACATATCTAGGTATTATAAATGATAAAGAATGCTAATATAGAAAATAGCCTACAAATCGAAACCAAAAATGCTTTAAATTGCATTTTAAAACATATCTAGGTATTATAAATGATAAAGAATGCTAAATTAGATTAGAATCGATATTTTTTTTGAAAAAAACCTACTATGATTAAAACCAAAAATGCTTTAAATTGCATTTTAAAACATATCTAGGTATTATAAATGATAAAGAATGCTTATATAGATATAAAATCGATATAATTTTTTTAAAACTAGCCTACTATAATTAAAACCAAAAATGCTTTAAATTGCATTTTAAAACATATCTAGGTATGATAAATGATAAAGAATGCTAATATAGAAAATAGCCTACAAATCGAAACCAAAAATGCTTTAAATTGCATTTTAAAACATATCTAGGTATTATAAATGATAAAAAATGCTAATAAAGATATAAAATCGATATTTTTTTCGAAATAGCCTACTATGATCGAAACCAAAAATGCTTTAAATTGCATTTTAAAACATATCTAGGTATTATAAATGATAAAGAATGCTAATATAGATTAGAATCGATATTATTTTTGAAAATAGCCTACTATGATCGAAACCAAAAATGCTTTAAATTGCATTTTAAAACATATCTAGGTATTATAAATGATAAAGAATGCTAATATAGATTAGAATCGATATTTTTTTTGAAAATAGCCTACTATGATCGAAACCAAAAATGCTTTAAATTGCATTTTAAAACATATCTAGGTATTATAAATGATAAAGAATGCTAATATGGATATAAAATCGATATTTTTTTTGAAAATAGCCTACTATGATCAAAACCAAAAATGCTTTAAATTGCATTTTAAAACATATCTAGGTATTATAAATGATAAAGAATGCTAATATGGATATAAAATCGATATTTTTTTTGAAAATAGCCTACTATGATCAAAACCAAAAATGCTTTAAATTGCATTTTAAAACATATCTAGGTATTATAAATGATAAAGAATGCTAATATGGATATAAAATCGATATTTTTTTTGAAAATAGCCTACTATGATCAAAACCAAAAATGCTTTAAATTGCATTTTAAAACATATTTAGGTATTATAAATGATAAAGAATGCTAATATGGATATAAAATCGATATTTTTTTTGAAAATAGCCTACTATGATCAAAACCAAAAATGCTTTAAATTGCATTTTAAAACATATCTAGGTATTATAAATGATAAAGAATGCTAATATGGATATAAAATCGATAATTTTTTTTGAAAATAGCCTACTATGATCAAAACCAAAAATGCTTTAAATTGCATTTTAAAACATATTTAGGTATTATAAATGATAAAGTAAGCAGTTTAGTGGCTAAGAATTTTTAATCTTTTGCTGGATGGACTTGAAGGCACAAACCTTTCTTCAACTTTACATTTGATCTTCATAATGATATTCATGACAATAACTGATATTTTCGGATTTTATGTCATTTTGTGTGAGCTTTTGTCGCACATAATAAGCAATCATTCAGAGTATACAATAAATGATATAGAAATTTTTTCAAATCTGGGATACTCATTTATTCAATTAATACTAAGTTCTTTATTGCTATTATTGGACATAACACAACAGAATTAGCTGAAAATACTAAATCTCTATTATCAAAAGTCTTAAATAATTTGGAATATTCAAACCACATTGAAAGATTTGAGATTTTCAGCGGACTTGTTCAGTTTCAAACAAGAATCCTTAAATATTCTAATAGTTTTTTCATAGTTGATTGGAAAATATTATTAAAAGTAAGTTAAATCTTCATAGTTTTAAAATGAAGTAATTAAATGTAAATTTAAAAAAAATTAATTGCAGGCATGGTCTGCTAAAATTGCATTTTTAATCATTGTGTATGTATTTATCCTTTTGTTCTTTCAATAATTAATTCTAACTCTAATTTCTTAATTAAAGATATCAAAATGAGTCACCTCTTTCTTGAAAATAAATTAAAAAATTTAATTAAACTTGTGTGTATAATTACATAAAAAAAATGTTTTTAGAATTTTTTTTTCTCAGAGTAATACAAAACTCAATATATTCTCACAAATAAAATTTTAGTGTGCATGAAAGAAAGGCGAGTATTTATGATATTGAAATGTTGACTATAAGTTAAAGTAACCAACACAAATAAGCTTCTTGTATACAGAATGTTATGCTTTCAACATACTTGGTTTGCTTTTTTCTATTAAGCTCTACAAACATACATACATAAAGTGATTTTAGCACAATTTTTTAAAATTCTTCTCTCTCGTTTTGTGCTAAAATTACTCACATTTTGAGTTGAAAAGCACTCGCGAGAGGTTGTGTCTAAGCAAAACAAGTATATTCATAAAAAATTACATGAACATAACTTTGAAAAATTGGAACATATCGAATGAAAAATATTAAATTGAAAATAATGCAATTTCAATAAGTTCTAAACTATTTAAATTTCAAAGCAAAATTGGAATGAAGTGATCATAAGTATTACAATTACATAGCTGTAAAAATAGTTGTTGTTACATGTGACACATTAAAAATCAAATGAAATAAAATAAAAATAAAAATAAGAATGGATGTAACGGATAAGTCATATACATTTAAGAGAGTAAGTTGAATGGTTTATAATGACATTACAAATATTTTGTTCTTTATATTGTGATGCATTTTAATAAAAAAAAATATTTAAGCAATGGCTTAATCGAATCCATACAATAAGAGTGTCGTGATGTATTTTGTAATTAGCCTCTTATTTTTTTCATTTAATGTAAAGTTGTTGGGAAAATTAAGCAATATTTACTCGAAAGAAGAAAACTTTTTTTTTCAAAAGTTCAGCAGTAAGAAAATGTAATGAGTTTATAGAAGTTTAAAAAATTTCAAAAAAACATCGAATTAATAAAAGAATACAACATAGACAGACGGAGACGTTGAAACAGTAGAGGTGTGAGTTAAGGCAACTGTAAATCATTTTATACTGTCTTAACTCATATTTCCGGTAGGTTTGTTGGTATGTTTTTTTGTACATAATTTCTTCTTTTCGATATGTTTTGATATGAGGTAAACTTGTATGTCAACTTCTACACATAATCAAATTAACTGCAAAAAAGTTTGTTATGCAACTATTCGTGTCACCTTTTATATCAAAATTAAAATGGAAACTGAATCTCTGTTTTAATGATTTATTGAAAAACATTTTATTTATGATTTAACAAGTCATATATAAAATATGCTTTGCATTATCTGAATCTAAATTGCTGAACAAATGAATATGGAAAAGATCACAAAAAACCTATAAAGAATGTTAAGAATTGAGTGTACCGTTAAAACATAAGAAAATGTTTGACATTGGTTTATTCTTTCCTTCATTCTTCTCTATATGTTTTCATCATATATGTTTCTCCTATTTTAACTACTACCTTGGACGGATTTTAAACTCTAGGACAGTATCTTCCTGTATTCGCGACACAATTTTTATTCTTGGATTTGATGAGCAAATTATATTCAAAGATGTTTAACAAGGAATATTGAAATTTTGTGCAAGGGAACATCAAAGCTAGGAATATCAAGAAGCTTTATAAGTTTTTAGTGCTTTATTTTAACTTTAAAGTAAATACCGAGAAAATAAAACTAAAAAAAGAAAATAAGTATGACTAGCTTTCGTGATAAGTAAATGAATTCATGCAATACTTTCCAAACAATGCAAAAGATGTATAGCGTTTCACTACTGCTTATCACTATTTCAAGTTTATTTTTAATGAACATCGTAATTTCTAGTCGTACTGTCGTTTACTTATAAATTTTTTTGCTTGATATTATCTTCGAAAAGATTCAAATCAATTCAAATTATGATAAATATTTTGATTAATATGTATTTTGTTGCAATTCATCATAGATAATTTAAAAGATTATCACCAAGCTATTAACAAGTTTAAAATGTAACATGACATTTTTTTTTACATAAAAGTAGTTGCAAACTTGAACGAATCATTTTTCTCGAATGAAAATTTCATTCAAATATTAATACTTATGGTCTTTGAAAATATGTTGAATCAACTTTTTTTTCCTTCCAAGGGCTTTGATCCAACAAGAATTACAACAAGAGCTAAGCTACAAAATAGACGCTGTAAATTAAATCAGGTAGTTCATTTTTCGAAATTCACTCCAAAATGAGTTCTCTTATTGATCATCATGATAAAAAACAAATGATTCTTTTTTAAAACTTTTCATGAAAAATGACCTAATTAGGAGATTAACAAAGAACTTCGATTGAGAGCCGGTGCAGAAAATCTTTTTAAAGCAACTACGAACAAAAAGTTAAGGGAAACAATCACACTTGAATTGAGCTTTATGAATTCAACTCTTCAATTACTAAAAGAACAACTAGCGGAACTTAATTCGGCAGTAGAAGTATATCAGCATGATGAAAAGTATAAGCCTTAAAATATTTCCTATTTCAAACTCACTGTTATATGGATTATTTGTTATCCCTAGACATGAAGAGTATCTTCCTATGATTCCACTTGGTTTGAAGGAAACAAAAGAAGTAGATTTTTTTGAACAGTTTTCTGATTTCATACTTGAACATTATTCTGTCGATCCCTCAAATTTTGAAGATTCAATATTAGATCTTATAGATACAAGACAGGTAATTATTAGCAGAAATTTTAAATTAACATTTAAGTAACAAATTTGTTCACACAGGCATCACGAACTCCTACAAGAGATCAAGCTGGAGTGGAATTACTTTGTAAATACTACAATCTTTTGTACTATGCTGAAAGAAGATTTTTTCCTGTAGAGCAACGAAATATTGGATTGTTTTTCGAATGGTTTGATTCAATCACAGGTAAGTCAAAAAAAAATTTACAGAAAAAAATTCTTGTATGACACTTTATTACTACTAGGAGAGCCATCATGTCAAAAAACCATTGCGCTTGAGAAAGCATCAATTCTTTTTAATATTGCTGCACTTTATACACAAATTGGAGCAAAAACTGACCGTACAAAAGTAGATGAATTAAACTATGCAGTCGATTGTTTTTTGAAAGCAAGCGGCATCTTTCAGCATATTATAGGTATTAAACATTTAAATGAGATTTTTAATAATTTATCAAGAATTATTTATATTATTTAATAGAAACTTTTACAAATGCACCATCATTTGATCTTCAACCATATGTTCTCGATATATTTGTTCTTCTAATGAGATCACAAGCACATGAGTGTAGATTCAAAGTGTTACAAATGGAAAATTCAACTGATTATGAGAGGCTTTTTATAGAATCGAATTGTTTAATGCGAGAATATGGGAAAATTCATTACGACATACAACTGAATGGAATAAACTTGCCGGCATGTTGGGAGGCTCTGATTCCTCTAAAGACTGAATTTTTTAAATCATTATCTCATGTGTATTTTGCAAAAAATGTTGCAAAAACTGAATTACAAAACAAAGATGCCATGAATGACAAAAACCGTTTGAAAATTATAAAAGCACATCTTCAAGCGTCTCAATCAAGTCATGAAGAAATTTTAAGATTACAGCGTATGTGCAGAGAACTGAGAGTAAGATCTTGCTACTGATATTAATTGACCAATTTTAAAATTGTCTTTATTTTACTTAGACAAAAATTAAAATCTCTAAAGTTCTTCATGATTTAGAGGAATGTATTTGTAACGAAATGTATACATTACCAGAAAACATCAATGATGATGAGGGCGAAATAATAGACACAACAATAAAGGAAACGACATCAAAATGTAACTTAGTAAATATTGCACCTGATTTTGGTAAAGTTGAAGATCCTTTCAAAGAACTAGGACCGATAGCGGTAAGTCAAAAGAGCTACAACCTAATGGAAATCAAAACTTAGTTATACTGTTTAAATATTAGGTATTTTCTGCTCGAAGAAGTTGGAGTGCACCTCGAAGCGTAAGACTCCATAAAACTGATTATCAAACAAAAAGTAATGGCACGGAAGAATTTGGATTCTGTATTAAAAGCAATTCTCCTGTAATGATTAGTCACGTTGACATAAATTCTGTTGCAGACGTAAGATTTTTAATAACTTTTAGAAACAAAAGCACAAGATTTATTTCTATTTTTCAATATCTATAAAACTAGCTGGGTGGTTTAAAAGTTGGTGACTTTATTGTGGAAATAAATGGTCATGATGCAAAGTATTACACGCAAGCAGAAGTACTAGAAAATATTCGAATATCAATGAATACATTAGATTTGAAAATCATCACACCAATGCAATTCATTAGCAAGCCTGTAAGTATTTCTTCTAAAATTATTTCCCTCTTAAACAAATTGTTTGAAAATTAAAATTTAATTTTAGGGATTTGTTTCGGATTTGATTGAAAAGTCGTTTGCTCATTTGTCAGATACTTCTTCATCTGGAATATCGTCTGGTGCATCAAGTCCCACCAACACGAATAAATTATTGAAAAATCGATTTTCAAATGTTTGGAAAAATCTGAGATACAAAATGAAATGAAAATGACAAATTATATGCAAAATAAACCTTGTTATTAAGAACAATTGTGTAGAAATAAACATAGAGGTTGTTACAAAATTATTATATCTCAAATAAAATAGATATTTATATTTGCATTCGCTTCTTGTTTCAGTTGATTGACATTGATTCAATAAGAAAACAAATTTAGAAATAATTGAAAGTTAATATTTAAATAACAAGTTTTCAAAAAAAAAAAAAAAAAAGAAGGAAGAAAATATGAGAAATTAAGAAATGGAAAATTCTTATGTGGTTTAATTACGTTGAAGTGTAAAGCTTTAGGAATGTGCTGAATCGCAAAGAACAATTTCAATTTTGACAAAAAAATTTTGTTGTGAATTGTATAGTTTGATTACTTCTTGCCAACCCTACTACCATATTTTGAAGTGGAAGCTATAAGAATAGAAAAAAAGAAGAAGAAAAAAATTAATAGAGGATCTGTAAAGACTTTAAAAACTTAATAGTGGATAAAAGAATGATTTCAATGTAAAAATATTCCCCGTTTGAAAAAAAGCAAATTACACGATTTCCTTTTTTATTGATTGCCTTAATATCAGAGAAGAAAAAAACAATCAATGCTATTTTTGTCCAATAACTCTAAACACTTAAGCAGGTTTCATAATTTAAAATGTTTGTAGTTTATTGATAATTAGGTATTATATTTTTCATCTTATGCATGTGCCACTTCATTCGAATATCTTCTCTCATTATTATATGAATTGTTATATACGTTTCTTTTAAAGTAAACTTATATTCTCTTTTTTATTGAACGAGAGCGCGCCTGTGAGAAAATATGCAGTTATGATAAACGGTTTATTGTTTTTTGTATTTGCCTCAGATAAAAAATAAATAAAAAAAAGAAAATAAAAAGATTCGCTTAAAGAAAAATATTCTTTTCGTTACATCTTTAAATAATGACAATTTTAATCTTAACATTTCGACAAAAAGAGCTATTATTATCATTTATTTCTATTTTTATGAATTTTGTTTCTCCTTTATGTGTTTATATGTTATGCATAACGTTCACAAATGAAATGAAATTCATCTATTTAAAATTTAAATAAAAAATAAATGAAAGGAATAAAACATGTTTAGGGATATCTATAATGATCTATTTTTTTTTAGAGTCAAAACATACGAAAAAGATTTTTGCAGAGATACATAAATCTAATTAAAACGGCATAAAATGATTTTTTTACACATTACTACGGGAAAATAAAAAGGAAAAATTGATCATTTGTTACTTGACTTATAACCGACAGTTCTTTCATTTTTTTTAAGAAATTGGAATTGTTTAATAAACTTCTATTTTTTTTTTTGAATTTTTATTCAAAATTTTTCCTTTTTATCTACAATTGATGTAACCTGTTCGTAAAAGTGTACATGTGTAAGACTTGTGTACAGTTATTTATTATTATTATTATTACTCATGTATGTTTATCAGGAGAATTTTTTCATTGTAATTAATAAGTTTGTTTCCTTATATAGTTCAAGTAATAGTTTATTGTTGATCCTGTGACACACTTAAAAACCGAATTTCGAATTTTTTTTTTTGATTACCTTTAAAAAAACTTTTGATCTTATTTAAATAACTACAAGAGATTAACGTTTTCAATTATAAGCTTTTGTTTACGTCTTTTGAATGGTGAAAGCACTTAAATTGACCTTGACCATAGAAAATTATGTAAACATAGACACGATATTGAAAACATCACAGATTTGTAGTTTTTCTAACCGCGATGTGATGCTCGTTTTCGCGCAATGTGTCAAAAATAATCGTATTTTTTCAGTATTCTGTTCTTCACATAGGTTTTAATTTTTTCTTTACTTTCAATTATTTAAATTTTAATTATTTTAAAAAATAGCATATCAACATTGAGTTGTACGGTAATAGTAAGCTCAAATGCTTATTTCTTTTTGTTTTTATTATTAGCGGCACGGGGAGGAGTTACAGGTCTTCCTCCGGACAAATTACTGTATTGAAATTTACGTTTATCAGCCGGCTTCAGAATTTGGAACGAGCACATAAGTGTATCATCTACAGACATCATTGCACCTACAGAATAAAATTCCAAATAATAAAACTCCATCTCCATAATTGCCATAATTACTCACCGGCGTTATCAAATTCTCCACAGTAATTGGGTGCTGAAAAAAGCGTTACCAATTGACGTTTTGCGAAAAATTCATATCCATCTTCCACAACTTGATGTGCACGACAAATTAAATCAAAATCATGCTTTGCCAAGAATTTTGCGACAATCTATAAATGAAAATAATAGATGTTAGCTAATAATATTTCAAGGGCGTTATTTTTTTTTTTAAATTACCTCTGCTCCAAATGTAAAGCTAACGCCACGATCGTTTTCTCCCCAACCCATTGTATCCTTATCTGGATCTGACCACAACAAATCGCATAAAAGTCCTTGATCCGGTACGTCTGTTGGTCTCATTATACGACGAATTTGCTCCATAGATTCTGTTGATGAGAAAAACCTTCAATGAGAATCGCTAGATCAAAAAAGTTTTCGAGGCATAAATTAAACGAAACATCTCAAAACGACATTGCTTTTTTTTGGTAGCTCATAATTTACAAGTGATAATTAAATCTGCAAATAGAGGAAATAAGTTTACACGTTAATATTAATTTTCAACAACAGTAAAGAAAATGCCCGAAATTTCTCTCGAAATATTCGGACGATATGTGTAAAGTAATAATCAAAAAAATAGTTGATGTCTACTTACATTTGGTTAGTGACACATTCAGCTGTGTTTACACATTAAAATCTAAAACAAAACAAAAACATATATGTGAGAATTTTCATTATAAGTTATTGCATATTGTCATGCTTACTTTTCAAAAAATATCATGGAAAAGGTTATTTTGAATGTTCGTTTTGATAGTTTCCTTAAATCTAGCATAGGCTTAAGAGAAAGAAATAGAAAGACAGAGTGAACCATTCCCACTCTGTAATACTTAAGTAAATCAGGAGAAAGTCCTCCATGACAGCAGAAAATCTTCTCATCAACTGTAATGATTATTTTTAAGAAAAAGAAATTAATCAAGTTTCAGATTTCAAGACATAACAAAATGAACATACCGATAGCAGCAACCGGCAAACAATTGAAACAATCCGTAAATGTTTTCCATAATTTGATATTATATCGTCGCTTGCACTCATCATAAAATCTAAAAATAAAGGATCAAATTTAGAAGATAATTCTTTTTCGTCGTAGAGATGTGATTTTACCCATAAATTCGATTTATACTTGCACACTCGTGATTTCCGCGAAGCAAAAAGAAATTTTCAGGATATTTAATTTTATATGCCAATAGAAGACATATGGTCTCCAAAGATTGTTTGCCACGATCGACATAATCACCGAGAAATAGATAATTAGATTCGGGTGGAAAACCTCCATATTCAAATAATCTCAGTAGATCATAATACTGGCCATGTATATCACCTAATCAAAAAATTATTAAAATCACAATTCATATCACTTGATTATTATTTTATTCTTCTATTTACCACAAATCTTCAGGGGCGCTTCCAATTCAAGTAATATTGGTTGTGATAGAAAAATTTCTCGTGATTTCAAACATAATCCACGTATTTCCGATTCAGTAAGCTGTACATTTTTTCCAGGTCTGGACCCACGAACTGGAAGCAATTTGTCATTATATTAGATTAAATGTTCGAAAAGTTATTTTATTCTATGCAAGAAAAATTTATAATGAGGAAAATTGGGAGACGATTGATATGAAAAATGAAGAAAAGTCAAAATAGACAGTTTTTACTTCGCGGGCGTTGGTTTGAAAAATTAATTCCAATTTCCCAATATATAAGAACGGGAAAATAATTTTCGACGCATTTTCTTACATTATAGATTTCAAAAGTTTTAATTTCATTAAAATTAGTGAAAAATACCTTCTAAAAGCCTCGCAATAATGTTGTCTATGTTAAGAATATCAATATCCGACATGTTTGATCTATAGATGAGAAAAACACACAAATTAGAGATGTATGACGAAATTTTTTTTTTCGAAATTTAAGCACTAATTCACATTTTTGCTTGTTAAATTTATGAAATTATCATTGTTTATATATTTACATCGGTCGTGGATTATTTTATATCGATCGAAAACTAATTAATAACTTTATCTAACAAAAATAATTAAAAGCAAACTCTTTCAGACTGAAAAAAATTATTTTTTTACTGAACGTATTTTCTTTATAAGCCAGGCTTATTCAGGTTTTCTTTCACAATCCTCGGACTTAGTTTAATTTTTTGATTTAACGTTTTTAAAATTTCTAATAGCTCAGCAGAGAAAGTGAATTAAAACATGAAATCCTTTTTAAAATGAGGAGAAATCAACAATTACAAATATATTATATTTAAGCTGGCTCCTTCTTATAAAGTCCCAATATATTACTCAACTAGTTTAAAAGGGCCCGTTTTGTATAAAAAATCTCTATAATTACTTGGTTTGCGGACGTCATTAATGGAAAGACCTTTTTTTTGTTATTGAAAAATATCAATTTAAGAAAGAATAATATTTAAAATCATTAAATAGATATTAAAAACAAGGGAAAATCAAAAGCATTAGTGATTAATGCAATTGAGAAACTGTTATATTAAATCAAATATTTAGAAAGCTTATTTAAACAGACGGTGACAAATAGTTTGCAGTTTTTAATTAAGTTTATAATCTGCATATATTGAATAATAACAAAAGAAACTAGTGTATCGGGTAGAAACCCAATGCGGATTATATTCACACCGTACCATCAAAGTTCTTATGGATAGACCAAGATTTGCCCACCATAAGTTTAAAGGTATGAAGCTTGATAAGTCAACTGAGCTTCGTTCAGCATATGTTTGAAGGTTTAAAGCTTAACGAACATTCTTTAAAAGTTCCAAAGTTGAATTTTATAAAAATCACAGTCAACTTTTGTTTTAAAAAATTTGTAAAGGAAAGGAAAGTTTTTTGCTTTTTCTGAAGCAACGGCTGTTCCTACCTTGCCCAAAAAACAATACAGCTCTACTATAGAGCAGCACGGATCAAATGTAAAAAACTAGAATTCTCTACGATGTCTTGTTATTGAGATTTCTTGCTGATTAACTTGCATGCTTGTTTGCTTGTTTGCTTGCTTACAGAAAGCGTATTTTGCAATTTTCTCAGCAATGCTGTAACCTTTTTGAAATCCGTTTTTTGAATATGATGTAAAATTTCAGGCATACTTTTCTTCTGGGACCTATTATAACCAATTTTGCTTCGTTTCCTCACAAAATGCGAAAAACTGATTTTTCAATTTGAACAAAACCAATAGATTCACACGTGAAAACGATGTGAATATAAAATTAAAAAATATCTTTTTTAACATTTTAATAAAACAAAGCGATTAAAATCAGTTTTAAAGAGATAATTATCTAGAGAGGAAACAAAAAACTTGATCGTGCAATATTCAATCGATATCTGATATTTTAAGAGTTGTTAAACAATCCCTAGCACAAGGATATGTCAGAATTTAATTCCGATAATGAACAACCAAATTCTGCCAACAATAATAAGATATTCTATTTTGGTCAGGTAATGATTAGTTTTTTAAATAAATATGTAACAAATTAAACAATTAGAATAACAAAACTTATAGGATGATTCTGATGAGGATGATGAAGGTCAAATGAATAATGTTGTAGTTGGAATTTGTGCAATGTCTAAGAAAACACAAAGCAGACCTATGAAGGAAATATTGACAAGATTGCAGGAATTTGAGTTTATTAAAATTTACGTCTTTTCTGAGGATGTAATCTTAAAGGTAAGCTGGATAAAAGTAAAAAATTATTGGAAAAGCATTTCTGGACTAATTTCAATTGCAGGAAGATATAGAAAATTGGATGCCCGTGGATTGTCTCATATCATTTCATTCTAAAGGCTTTCCTTTAGAAAAAGCCATTCGATATGCACAGCTTAGAAACTGCTTTGTCCTTAATAATCTACCAATGCAATTCGATATTCAAGATCGAAGGAAAGTTTATTCTACTCTCGAACAAGAGGGTATCGAAATTCCACGATATGCTGTACTTGACAGAGATAGCCAGCCTCAAAAACACGAGCTAGTAGAATCTGAGGATCATGTTGAAATTAATGGAATAATATTCAATAAGCCTTTTGTAGAAAAACCTGTAAGTGCGGAAGATCATAACATATACATTTATTATCCAACAAGTGCTGGTGGAGGCAGCCAGAGGTTGTTTCGTAAAATTGGAAGTCGTAGCAGTGTTTATTCGCCAGAGTCAAGAGTAAGAAAAAGCGGGTCATTTATCTATGAAGATTTTCAAGCAACAGATGGTACAGATGTTAAAGTTTATACAGTCGGGCCTGACTATGCACATGCAGAGGCTCGCAAAAGTCCAGCGTTAGATGGAAAAGTCGAAAGAGATAGCGAAGGAAAAGAAATTCGATATCCAGTGATTTTATCAAACACGGAAAAGCTTATCGCTAGAAAAGTGTGTTTGGCATTTAAACAAACAGTTTGTGGATTCGATCTACTTAGGTAAATATAATTCTTTTATTTAAAAAAAAAATCATGCTCAGTAATTGAAAATGCCATTTTTATTATTTTCGTTAAAAAAATATTTTAGAGCAAATGGAAAGTCATATGTGTGCGATGTAAATGGATTCAGTTTTGTAAAGAATTCAAATAAATATTATGATGATACGAGTAAAATATTAGGAAATATGATTTTACGGAATTTAGCACCAAAATTAAATTTACCTTGGGCGATTCCTTTTCAATTAGACGATCCTCCCTATGTTCCTACAACAATTGGTAAAATGATGGAACTACGTTGTGTTACAGCAATCATTCGACATGGAGATAGAACTCCCAAACAAAAGATGAAGGTTGAAGTTCGTCACCAGAAGTTCTTTGAAATATTTGAAAAATATGATGGATATAAAAAGCTTTCAATCAAACTAAAGAAACCAAAACAACTCCAAGAAGTTCTTGACATAGCACGATATCTTTTGAATGAAATTCAAGTTAATAAAGGAGTTGATAAGGAATTAGAAGAAAAGCAGGGTAAATTGGAGCAGCTAAAAACTGTTTTAGAAATGTATGGTCATTTCTCTGGAATCAATCGAAAAGTTCAAATGAAATATCAACCAAACGGTAAACCTAAAGAGTCGAGCGGTGACGAGAATCCTGAGTCACAATCAGCATCTCTTATGTTGATTGTGAAATATGGTGGAGAATTGACTCCTGCTGGTAATAATTTGTTATAAATTACGTTTTATCCTGTAATGTATTTAAAAAAAAATATTATAGGCAGGGTTCAAGCAGAGGAATTGGGAAAAATGTTTCGATGTATGTATCCGGGTTCTGCTGGAACGGATTCCAGCTCTGAGGAGTGTGGTCTGGGATTATTAAGACTTCATTCAACATTTCGTCATGATTTGAAGATCTATGCGAGTGATGAAGGAAGAGTGTACGATCAAATTAATCAAATTCATTAATCTTAATCTTAATACCATAATATCTCCCTTTACACAGGCAAATGACAGCGGCTGCTTTTGCTAAAGGACTATTGGCTCTAGAGGGTGAATTAACTCCTATATTAGTGCAAATGGTAAAATCTGCCAATACAAATGGTTTATTAGATAATGACTGTGAATCAAGCAAATATCAAAATCTGGCAAAATTTAAATTACATCAGCTTTTGCAAATTAATCGAGAATTAAGTGACGAAGAGCGATCAAAAATTAATCCATGTAATGCTACAAGCTTAAACCAAGCACTTAATTTTGTAAAAAATCCTTACAAGTGCTGTGAACATGTTTTGAAACTTATTCAAAATTTGGTCGAACTGGTCGATATCAAAAAGGAAGATTCAAAAACAAAAGATAGCTTGTTATACCACCAAGAAAGTTGGGATTTGATGCGACGTCGATGGGGGAAAATCGAAAAAGATTTTTACAACAAAAATAGCTGCGTTTATGACATTTCTAAAATTCCAGAAATTTATGATGCAATTAAGTATGATTATTGCCACAATCAACATACTCTTCAATTTCCAGAAGCAGAAGAACTTTATGTTTACTCCAAAAATTTAGCCGATATTGTGATTCCTCAAGAATATGGCTTAAGTGCAGAAGAAAAGTTAACAATTGGTACTGGAATTTGTACGCCTTTACTTAGAAAAATAAAAGCTGATTTACAGCGCAACATTGAAGAACCAGAAGAAAGTGTTAATCGTCTTAATCCACAATATTCCAAGGGTGTAAGTTCTCCAGGCCGACATGTTCGTACTAGACTATATTTTACCTCGGAATCACATTTGCATTCGCTTTTAACTGTGTTTAGACATGGGCAACTTCTACCTCTATCCGACTATCAATGGAAACGAGCAATGGATTATGTTAGTATGGTTTCTGAATTGAATTATATGAGTCAAATAGTAGTTATGCTATACGAGGATCCAACAAAAGATCAAATGGCAGAAGAAAGGTTTCATGTTGAGCTTCATTTTAGGTACCTTTTTTAAAAAAAAAATAATAATTTTTTGACTGAATCTTCTAATTGTTGTTATATTATCTTTTAGTCCTGGTGTAAATTGCTGTGTACAGAAAAATCTACCGCCTGGGTAAGATCAATAATTGACTTAAATGAACAAAAAAAAATTATAACCAAAAATAATTGTTCATTTCAGACCCGGTTTTCGACCACATGCGCAATCAAAAAATACGGTGAGTTTAGTATTTGTACTTTAAATGTAATTGTTTTAGATTTATTTTTAATAACTTTGTTTAACATTCAATAAATGTTTGCTTGAAATTGTAATTAGTCGAGTGAAGATGAAGGAGTAAGTAAGATTGATGAAGAATATGTTGATCAACTGTGTAGCATGAACATGAATGATAAAAAGCGCCCATCAAAAATATCGAATCCAATCCATATTGGACATCATACGGTTTCTGGACATGAAGCCTTAAACTTGGCAAAACGCTTGAGTGAGGAATTGGCAACACAAAATCAATCTACACAAACTGGAACTCGTGCAATTAGTCCGGAAGTTGAGCCAATATCAAGATCGTATGAGGGCAAGAAAGGTACTTTTTACACTATTAATTTTTGCACACATTTTTCGTAACAAAAATTTTGGATATTTGGTTTTTTTTAAATTTGTTTTACGTTTTTAAAAGCTTGTTCATAAGATACCTTAAAAAAAGATCTTATGAAAAAGAAACTAACTTTTAATTGCATGAACACTGTTCCCTTATAACTGATTTTTTATAGAGATTATGAACAATCTTTTTATTTTTTGTCTTATTGTTAAAAGAATCTCACACAAAAACCTGCCTTTGCACTTGTTTTTCTATATTTTTTTTATTTTAATGTTTTTTGGAGAAAAAAATACTTTAAGGCAAACATAATTTGTTATTTTATTGGAAAAAGTTGATCAGGTAAAATTGGAATTTAGCTAGTTTATTTTTGATTTCAATCAGCATTCAAAACTAATCAATCTAAACATGCAAAAAGATTTTCAAACAATATTTCTAATTGTGGGCTTCCATAAAGTGGGATATGATTTATATATTGTTTGAGGTCTTTGGCACAGAATCTGCCTCCTTTGCTAGGTATACAAGGATATACTAGCATCTGGATGACTTCCTTACGGCATCTTGCGCACACGAATTGTGACTAGGTTCATTGCAGGGTACATCAGGTCTTATGACGTACTCGTGTCTTTGCAATGTGCAGAGCTTGCAAGTGGTTCGGATCCCACTATAAACTGTAGGTCTAAAGGGTGTGGTACAATAGATTCTGTTCTAATTTGAATCGCAGTGCCTCCAGCTGAAAGGCTGAGCCCTTCACACATTATTATTATTATTTTATATATTGTTACTGATAAATCTGATTAATGAAGATTGCTGATTGAATCCATTTTTATATTTATTTAGTAATTCATAAACATATAAAATCACAACATTCTAGCAACTATTTATACTTTAGATCAAAATATCTAAATTATTCATCTCATCTCTCAAGCATATCGATGAAAAAAAAAAACTTATTCAAATATTTTAAATTAGTTTATCTGGGCATAAACCGTGTCATGATGTTTCTTGGTGTTCAATATACTTGATTTTTTTTTAATACATAAAAACTTAAAAAAGCTTCATTAACTCATTGTTCAAAATTGCATATTCTCATTTTGTCGGCTTTAGATTTTTGTAAAGTAGATCTCAGTTAGATTGATTACATTGCACTTTAATCTAAAATCTAATTCGATGAGCTTTTTACACTTAATCTTCTCACCGACATTAAAAAAAAGAATACACTTGATTTTTGCAAAACGCAACTTGGAAATGAGCTAATGACTTTTCTAACTTGAATGTCGAATATATTAAAGATACACTGGTGGAAATTGAAATGAGACACCCATGTTTTTTATGTGAAAGTCTTACAAATGAAAGATTAAGCCTTACTTGTTGTATATCATTGGAAAGGACTTTAAAAAATAACTTAAGTACAGGAACAATGTACTGACTGAAAATGTAGCAGTTTAAAGTTATTTACAAAATATGATTTTTAAGGTGGAAATTGAAATGAGACACTTTAGAAAAATTTACAAAAATCTTCCTCAATTTTGACTTTGACTATACATATTGTATATAGACTTGTAGATTTTTATTTTCTTAACAATACTAGAGCATTCTAAAAATTTTTGGAACTTCCAATCATCTAATATCCTCAAGAGAAAGTAGTGAAAGCCAGGTTTTTTGTTTTCATCAAATATTTTTATGAATAATCATCTATTAATAACAAATGAAATCAAAATATGTAGATTTTTAAATGCTCTTTCAGATAAAGAATTGATATTTACCTCAACATAAGCTTAAATGACAAAAATTAATTAAAATGCTTGTAACGAGTGAGTACGGATATGAAAAAATTCATTTTTCTCTTATTTTGGTTAATCAAAAAAATCTGAAGTTTTCAGGACATATTCTGCATTGCCTTTACTATAAGTTTTTAATGCCATATATTTTTTATCTCCATCCTTAAACGCTAGGATTAACATTTAAGTCATGATGAAATCCCATAATATCAAATTCCATAAATTTTTCACATTATTAATGCAAAAATTCAAATCGAAAAATTCCGTTAAAATTTTCTTATTTTTATCATTTATTAATATTTTATGCACATAAAACGTATGTATGTAACATTTAGAGAATCATGCACTATGTTTAAGATGCTATAGTATCCTTATAATTTCAGGACAATTTAATTATTGTTTGTTTACATCATTAATTTTAGGCAAGAAAAAAGATGCAAAAATAAATTCAAAACTTTTGACCGTTACAAAAACACTAAAACCTAGTATAATTAAATTATGCTGATAGCATAATATCTTAAAGATAGTGCATGACTCTCTAAATGTTACATACATACGTTTTATGTGCATAAAATATTAATAAATGATAAAAATAAGAAAATTTTAACGGAATTTTTCGATTTGAATTTTTGCATTAATAATGTGAAAAATTTATGGAATTTGATATTATGGGATTTCATCATGACTTAAATGTTAATCCTAGCGTTTAAGGATGGAGATAAAAAATATATGGCATTAAAAACTTATAGTAAAGGCAATGCAGAATATGTCCTGAAAACTTCAGATTTTTTTGATTAACCAAAATAAGAGAAAAATGAATTTTTTCATATCCGTACTCACTCGTTACAAGCATTTTAATTAATTTTTGTCATTTAAGCTTATGTTGAGGTAAATATCAATTCTTTATCTGAAAGAGCATTTAAAAATCTACATATTTTGATTTCATTTGTTATTAATAGATGATTATTCATAAAAATATTTGATGAAAACAAAAAACCTGGCTTTCACTACTTTCTCTTGAGGATATTAGATGATTGGAAGTTCCAAAAATTTTTAGAATGCTCTAGTATTGTTAAGAAAATAAAAATCTACAAGTCTATATACAATATGTATAGTCAAAGTCAAAATTGAGGAAGATTTTTGTAAATTTTTCTAAAGTGTCTCATTTCAATTTCCACCTTAAAAATCATATTTTGTAAATAACTTTAAACTGCTACATTTTCAGTCAGTACATTGTTCCTGTACTTAAGTTATTTTTTAAAGTCCTTTCCAATGATATACAACAAGTAAGGCTTAATCTTTCATTTGTAAGACTTTCACATAAAAAACATGGGTGTCTCATTTCAATTTCCACCAGTGTATATGTAACGTAGGCTTTTGCTTGTACCTTTCCTATCTCACTCTTAATACCTTGAATGATTGTTTTCTACCTAATTTTCCTATTACTTCGCGGATATGATTTTCTTTGATACATATCTTTCTAAATAGTAAACATTTTCCCTTCACCTTCCTAATTTTTAATTCAATACTCTGATTTTCTTTGAATATGTTATAATATTCAAGGAACAAGGACTCAGCGGCACAGCTTTTGCCAGATGAATCAATTTAAATTAAACAGTAGGCTCTCATATCGAAGCAGCGCTCAAAGTTTGTTTTCAACAGCCTTAATATCTGGCTCATCTTCGGCTCCAAATTTAAGTGAAATGATAATTTCAAACAACACTACACTGACAGGTATTTCTAATGCTCTTATTGGTTTTTCTTTTCATTTCTCTCTTTATATATAATATTAATTAATAAAGGAAATTCAATTTGATACTTTTTTTTGTGTTGGATGATAACAACATGTGCTTTAAATAAATGCCACATAATGTCCCATCATTTGACTGATAGTTTAAGAGAAAATATTTCTAAATTTTGACGTAGAAAAGAAGAATCATATTAACAATTAAAAGATAAATACAGTTGCATCATACTGCAGAGAAATTTCAGCATTTCGGTGTTGATATTTCTTCAAGCTTTTTAAATTGCATTAAATGAGAACATGTCTTTATTAACCAAAACCTTATTTCTTTTAAAAAAGTGCCAGGTATTTACGGAGTTCCGCCGATCAGACCACTTGAAACTCTACATAATGCATTATCTTTGAAACAGTTGGATACATTCTTGGAAAAAATGACTAAATATATACCACACAAGACGAATCATCTTGAGCATCAGATGTCAATAAATTTAGACTGTCAAGATTAAAACAATGATTAAATGTGTATCAAAATATCAAAATATTTTATTGTTGTCAATAAAGATTTATAAATAGACATGTGCTATGTGGAGCTTAAATCATTTTGAGCATTAAATCATTGAAGCAAAATTTAGTTGAGATATTAAAAAAATAAAAATTAAGTGCACTTGGTGAAGATATTTCTGTCAGCTGCTAAAAGCTCCGATTTAAATATTCCATTCTTTTCTCAACAATTTTCCTGCGACGAAAATCACGATCATTTGAAATTATTCTCATCCTTTCCTTCGTTGAATACTGATGAAAAATATCATTAAAACGATGTAAATCACTTTGAAGCTGCTTAAACAACTTGGTTTTCAAAAGAATATCTTGAACTGGACTACCACATAATTTATGTTGATTTAAACTGAAAACAAAATGCAAAGTATCTTGAATACTTTTTATAAGCTCTTGCACATATATTGTCTTTATTAAACGCCTAATAAGATATCCTCTAGCAAGAGCGGTAATTTTTGTTGCAGCTTTATTCTTTTGATCAGCTTCATTAACTAATGTTTTTTCACTTTCCGTCTTTTCAAATGATTGAAGGCAAGTCTGAAATTCGGCAAATTCCTCGTCTTCAGTTATGTTAATGGAGTTATTCGTTAATGGAGTGGATGTAAGATTATGCATATTATTTTGTAGTTTTGTAAATAATTTTTGTTGTTCAACTATGAATTTTCTTTTCAAAACATTCATGGTTTTCAGATATTCTTCCTTTTGTCTTTCAATCAGATCCTTCATGTGTTCCTTCAGATCTAATTGAAAAAGATCGCAAGAATTTTGTTCGGTTTTTAATTTTTGATTATTATCTGTTTGCCTTTCTCCTTGTTCTTCATTAAATTCCGTTTGTATTGAAGATGTATCCTCATTTATAGTCTCTTTATCTGAATCAGTCTTATCTAGTGCTTCTGGAAGTTGTGAAACTGCAAAAACTGGATTGGAAATTGTGTAAGAATTAGCCGAACTGCATCGCTCTTCTTCAGCTTTCATGGAATAGTTTAACATATCTTTCTTTTGCTTAATCTTTTCTTCTTTCATTTTACATTGGTTGCGAATATCAAGAATTTTCTGCCGTAATTCTTCAGATATCTTTAGAATTTTTAAGGAGATGTTAGCATTAGTTTTGTTTTTACCATCAAACTACTATATTCTTACCAAAGGTGCCAAAATTGGCTTGTTTTTAATCTTAAAAATGGATACAAATTGATCTCTTTGCATTATTGTCTATTATTATGCTAATACGAATATAAACTTAGAACTTAAAAACCAAATTAAATACCAAGTTTTTGTTTATTATTTATTGGGATGTTCAAATTTTTTTGCTTCCTTTCAATAAATTCTAGACATTAAAATTTGATGGCTCCAAAAAAGATCTTATAAAAGCCTGAAACATTAATTTAATGATGATTTGTCATTTTTATTTTTTTCACCTTTTCTAATATCATAATAAAAATTAAAAAACTATTTAAGTCTTATTTTGTTTTAAAAATGAGCCAACTTTTTATTTAAGAGCCGAAAACTTATGGTGTGGTGAAATATATTTAATATAGGTTATTCACCAATTCAAAAATTTTAATCAATTTAAAAATATTCACGTTTTCATAAGAAAAATTTATACACAGATTAGTAATCCACTTATTAGAATTCATGAATGATTAGAAAACTCCAAAAGTGTCATTAATTACCAAATCATTCTCAATATTGATTCATCAACGACTTTGTATTTCATTAGGAATTGAGAATTTCACCACAAAACGTGCTTGAGTTTAGTTTTTAAATTATTGAAATAAGAAGCACATGTGAATGAATATTAATTGGAATCATCAAAAAAAGAAAATTTCATTGCCTCATTTGATGAGCGACATTATGGTAAAGTTGCTATTCCTCTCATTTTTTCTTCAGTGCTCAGAGCTCTTTCTTCATTTTTTAATGCACACCAGTTCAATATGAAACACGGCGAGGAAACAAATTCAGTTTTTGTTCAGCGCTTGATCGGTTAAGACAGAAAAAAAGAAGGCAAAATCTAAGGAATCAAAAAGAGAGTGGTACATATACAAAAAAAAAAAAAAAATCTGCAAAAAAGTTCATTGTCTCTTAATTGAGATTATTAATAAAAAAGTTATTACATAATATTTGTCTTTACATGGCATGAAATCAATCATTCCAAATACATTTGCTAAAAGAAATTATTACTTAAATATTAATATTTATATCCGGTAGCTTATAACGGAAAGAGAAAAATTATAAGCACAAATTGGTTGCCAACAAGAAATACTTAATGAGTCAATGAGCATAAAGTGCTATAAATATCTATGTTTTTTAAAATTTCATATTACACATGGAGAAAATTAAATTAAAATTTCTTTTTGCATCTCGTTTTTTCTTCTTGCTAGAAATTCAGACTCATCAATAACTATTTTTTTAAAATAAAATAAAAAAATTGTGAGTGTGTGCAGAAGTTTAAAATATTAAAGGAATTAAGAAACAAAAGTTCAAATTAATAAGACGAATATTTCAATTCATGAGCAAAGTGGTAAGTAATTTTTTTTAAACATACAATATCCGTCTTATTCTGGCATTGCAATCTTTCTTTTTCTCGAAAATCGGTCTGCGGTACACGAAGCAGTTTTTCAATGAAACGAAAAAAGTGAATTGCTCAAGTATTAAAATTATATCGAGTATATGTTTTTCTTAAGGTCATGAATTTACGTTCACTATTTTAATTTCAAACCCGATATAAATAGAACACTTTCATTATCGCTGTAAATTTCTATTTCCTTTGTCCAGTTTTTATTTTTCTTTCCTCGTCATCTTCAAAAGATTCCACTTCCTATCTCATTTGTTAAAAGCTATGATGAGGAAATTGCGGATTAATGTGTAAAAAACATTGAAGATTTAATTAAATTTCTGCTGTTGATGAATTCTTCTTTCCCATGCATTTTCTTATTCTTTTAAAACACTTGTGTTACAAAACACTTTTTTGTGTCTGTAAAATAATGAATACAGAAGCCGTTAAGTATTTAAAGTTTAAATTGACATTTAACTCAAACTAAATGCACGTAAATGATGTGAATTTTTTTATTGCTATTAATATGTGTCGCTCACTAGAAACATTATATTTATCATTACTTTGTCGAATCTCTGCATCAAAACCACTTCAGACGAAAAAAAAGAGTTGAAATGCCATTTTTTTCGGATTACATAACATCGCCAACATCAACAGAGACCACAGCACGTTTAAATAAAATCAAAAACAAAATTCAAACCTGATGATTCAATATAAAATTCCATGATGTGCCATAAATTTCAAATATAGCACATATAATGAAAATATAACATTTGTTGAATCTGGTTAAATCACAATTGTTCTTCATATTCTTCTTTTCATAATGCTTGTTGGTCAGGAAATTATAAAAGTACGTTAATGCGGAAAAAGACCCAAAAAATCAATGTAGTGTAAAATATTTCCTATGTTAGGTCTGTAAAAATGTATTTCTTTTATTGATAGAAAGTAGTCTTGCAAATTTTATTTTTCTTTCATAAGACTCTTTCTCTGTGCACAATAGCATGTGCTCCGTAAGTAAACGTTTGCAAAAATATATTTAAATAAAAAATTGTTTGAAACTATGTATTTATAGCCTGCATGCGTTCTTGTTTAATCGAATAATTTAATCGAAACTTTTTAAGAAAATTTGAAATAAAATTTTATATTGAATGATGAAGCCTCACTTTTCTGTCGCAGATATTCGTACGCTTTGATGAAAGAAGTACGCGTATTGAAAATAAAAGTGAAATGCAATCGCACAAGAAATCTTATATACAATGTCTACAACTACGACAAAGGCGAGAGGTATAATTTCTTTTTGACATTACATAAAAATCACATTTTGTTATTTCTCACTTTTATTAAACATTAAACAATCCTATATTTTCCTATTTACTAATTAATTAAAATGTCATAACGTTTGTTGAAAAAAAATAATTATTGAATTTATAGGCAATTAGAATCAAAAAACATTAGAAAAAAAAGAAATAGTCACATTGTTGATGATTCATAAAATGTTTGTTGAAATGTAGGAGGTTCGGCCATGAAATTTTAATAGAAATTTCAATACATGGAACTTAACCAAAAATGATGATGAAACATTTTCTATAGATCAGCCTGCTTAAGGAATAAACAGCTTCACACAAATCGTGAAAAAATCTCATTTCATGGTTTTAACATTTTGCATTAATTTTAAAGCAAATTCCTAATGATATTTTCATGAATATATGACATTAGTAAATTTTTTTTATAGGTTTCATTCCTTTATATAAGAAAATGTTCTTTTAAATCGCTTCAATATTATCAAAACCTGCGTGATCTTAACAATTTGCATTTTTATTGAGAATGAGTAATAAAATATTAAAAAATTCCTGAAGCAACAGAGGAGTTCATAAAAACAGAAGAAAAACAACGACCTTGACTATGTCATAGCTGATTTGTTTATTAATGCTCCGACGATAGAAAGAGAGAGTGAGTGAGAGGGAAGAAGAAAAAAACAAAACTGACTTTTGACTTTTTCGTTTACATCCATGATACACTTACCTACATATTTTATATTCTTTTTTACACACATGCAGCGAATGTGTTGCTAATAAATATAAAAATACTTAATATGTTGATATTTTACATGTATCAGACTAGACTAGTATGCTGATGAGGTTATGAAATTATATAATCGTCACCTGAAGCAGCATTCCTTTACCAATATAGTTATTGATACTTACATATATATATGAAATTTATATAATGACAGCTCTATGACTGTTTTAACCCGATATCATCAGCTAGCTGTTAAATCATCTGCTGAATTTTTTGGTTATATGACCGTGATTTTAACACCTTGAGAGGAGCACACGACAAAGAAGCATCACATTTAGATGACGCAGAAACAATAACCATACCAAACAATAACAATAAATGAAATATTAAAAAATAAAACTCAAAGTTGTTAAAAACAATGGACTAATTTACAGTCCTGAGATTTATTTTTTAATTGTTCCTAATATATTGTTACAATTTATTACTACTTGAACAGACCTCTCTTTTAAACAACCATTTCATCTCAACTCATTGTACTTATTTTTCACATACAGTCTTGACATTTTAAACTATTGTTAATGAAAATTGCAATTGACATCGGTCAGTCCTCACTTCCTTGTGCTTGGCAGAATAAACTATTTTACAATCTTTATCAGAATTTAAATGAACTAAAAAGTCTTTTGCTCAATTAAGGACTGAAATCTAATTTAAATAATTTAACCTTTGGAAATATATACTGTCGCATTTTTTTATGCTTTTGCTTCCAAAACTTCATAACATTCCTTTCTCGTGAATGCAACTTTAAACAACAATTTCAATTTTGTCATGAATTTCATAAAAAAAATTCATCTAGCTTGTTACATCACACGCTATTGTACTATGCGAAGCCTTAAATCTATAAAAGTTTTGGAAGAGTTGAGAAAAAATATTTGTCATTCAATAAGATTAAGCAGAATTGATCAGAATTTATAATAAATAAATTGAAATGCTTGAATATTAGCCTTATGTGCTATTAAAATCTGAACACTTGGTTGATGGTTGAGTCATTTTTAAAATATCTCCTTGATACAAGTATAGTTCCTCAACATTCCTTTTGTCTTTCTCATTTTGTAAAGCCGCGTTCTTTAAACTTTAATTTATTGCTGCACACTAATCGACTCGTAGAAAATCGATCGATATGAATTTCTTTTAATTTCTGTTCAGCGGCACACAGTTTTAGAACTCCTATTCTAATGAAAACTCATTCTGACTGGAGACTTTAATTCTCATAACTTTTTGTGGGGATCTCATAAAACAGATGGTAGAGGAAGGACCATTGAGGAACTAATTGACGAACTTTCTTTAACAATTAAAAACGAAAAGTTACCAACACATGTAGCTAGTACAAATAACCGATTAACAGCAATTGACGTAACTGTCTGTACGCAAGAAATATCCAGCGAATTTGAATGGACTGTTTTAGACGACCTGCATGGCAGTGACCATTTCCCAATTCTTTTAACATTCCCTCAATACACACAAAATATTACACAACGAGAAAGATACAACATTAACAATGCTGACTGGACAAAGTACAGACAAAACATTAACTTACAAAACTTAGACAGAACAAACATAGATTCACTCACAAAAGACTTTACTCAACGTATTCTTGACGCAGCTAAAGCTTCAATGACTCTGTCTAAAAACTTTCTCGGTAAGAGAAAACTCCCGTACTGGAATGACGACATTAAAAACAAAATTGTTGAAAGGAAAAAAGCCATTCGGGAATTTAAAAGAACACTTGACAATAACACTAAAGATAAAATTGATCGACTATCAATCGAAATACGAGAGACATTACAAAAGTACAAGCGACAAACATGGAACCAATTCACCTCATCAATCAACAACAAAGCGACGTCAAAAGAAGTTTTTGACAAAATACGTACATTAAGTGGCAAAACGAAAAACACTGTAATCAAGACATTAATTGACGATAATGGAAACCAAGTACAGGACCAAAAAACTATAACAAACATATTAAAAGACTCTCTGGAAGAAACGTACAGCACAAACAATCCTAACAGACCACACACCATCCCGCAAGACAATGACAGTAACAGCTACAATGACAAAATTTCCTTACCCGAACTAGAACAAGCACTTGCAAATTGCAAGGGCTCTTCTCCAGGACCAGACGACATACACTATGAAATGATTAAGCAACTTGACATTAGCGCAAAAAAGACATTACTTGAATTATATAATGAAATTTATGATAAAGGACATGTACCACAGACTTGGAAGCATTCGTTAGTAATACCAATTAAAAAGCCTGGTAAAGACCCTCGACATCCGACCAATTATAGACCAATCTCATTGACAAGTTGCTTAAGCAAAATCTTAGAACGAATAATCAACAGACGACTTCAATGGACTCTTGAGAACAGACAGCTCCTTAACAAATTCCAATCAGGATTCAGACGAAAAAGAGGAACAGCAGACAACATAGCATACTTAACTGACGAAGTCCAAAAAAGTTTCATTGAAAAAAGACAGACAATCGCTATTTACATTGACATTAAAAAAGCATACGATACTATTAAAACGGACGTAATTATTGACAGTTTTTTAAAAATGGGTTTTAAGGGGAAATTAGTTAACTATATAAAGAACTTTTTATCAGACAGGACATTTAATATTCAATTGGGAGGGATAAAATCAGACTTGGGAAAGATGGATAAAGGAATTCCACAGGGATCAGTTATTTCTTGCACACTATTTAATATAGTGTTCAATGAGATACTGAACTGTATTGACGAACCAAACAAGTACTGTGCTTATGCCGATGACTTGGTGATCTTTTCCAATGGAAAGACCACTAAAGGAATTGAAGCAGGCATGCAAAAGACGTTGGACAAAGTAAACACTGAAATGAGACAGAAAGGACTAGAAATTTCAAAGGACAAGACGAAATGTATGCTTTTTTCGACAAAACACAAAAAGAACATTATTGAACCAAAACTGACACTTGACGGACAAGCTCTAGAATGCGTGAAGAAATTCACCTTTCTTGGAGTCACTTTCGACACGAAATTAAACTGGACAGAACACGTAAATAACATCACTTCTAGAACTAAACAAAATATGAATGTGATACGAATGCTTTCTAATACTACGTACGGATCAGACAGAAACACACTTTTGAAATTAAATAATGCTTTAATATCCTCCATAAGCAGTTATGGAGCGATTGCATTCAACAACTTGACAAAGGAACAAGACAAAAGACTGAACACGATACACATTAAAGGACTAAAGTATGCAATTGGTGCATTCATAACGTCTCCTAATAACAGTGTGGAAGTGGAAGCAGGCGTAATGCCCATGAAGCATCAAAGACATACCCAACGTACGAAGTTTAGCTGCAAAATTTTGACCAATCCCAACCATCCTCTCCACGAAAGTCTTAATGACATGACAAAAGACCACACATATGCACAACGAACTAAACCTCCAATTACATATACGATGAGACAAGAACTACAGAAACTAAATATTGATAATGGTACATTTTTCAACAAGACCCAATCAACGAATCTCCCACCTTGGACAAAAACTAGCCACAATTTTGACATAACACTAGCAAGAATTGACAAAAACAACACTTCTAAAGAAATACTAAAGACAGAATTTTACAAAAAACTGGACAAGTACAAACAAGAAAATTACGAAATTAGTTACACCGACGGTTCAAAGACGGACGATGGCTATGGATGTGCTGTGATTGAGGACGGTGAAGTGCATAGATATGGGTGTCACGCCTATAGTTCTGTGTATAGTACTGAACTTTTCGCAGTCTCCAGGGCTATCCAAATTGCAGACAGAAAAAAGAAGAACAAATTATTAATTTGCACGGACTCACTTAGTGCTGTACTAGGTATACAAGACAGACAGACAAAACATCCCTTAGTCCTTGAAATTCAAGACCAACTATTTAGGACAAATATGACAGTAACATTTATGTGGATCCCCAGTCATGTCGGCATTGTTGGAAACGAGAAAGCAGACGTGGAGGCAAAAGAAGCTACAAGAGAGGTACTCTCCAGACAGTATAAAATAATACATACGGACGTTAACAGAACAATTAAAGTAACGAGAAAGAATATATGGCAGTCAGAGTGGAATAAAGAAATTGACAAACAAAACAAACTAGGAAGCATCAAAAAGACAGTGGACAAGTGGAAAAATATTAACGTACTAAACAGAAAGGACCAAACCGTAATAACTAGACTAAGAATAGGACACACGAGACTAACACATGGACATTTAATTGAACGAACGAACACTCCGACATGCAGTTGTGCGGAACCGTTAACTGTGAAGCACATTTTCGACTGCAATCTTAACAAACAAGTACTAGACAAACACAAAATTAATTCCGACTCACTAACATCCGACAAAAAACAAATACTACTGAATGTTATCGAGGTTTTAAAAGAACTAAATTTATACGATGAAATTTGAACTACACTAGCTATGTTATACTGAATACTATTGAAAAAGAGCATTGTAAATAAGAAATCAATATATAAAGGTTTTTTATGCATTTTGAAAAGTTTAAGTACTTCTTCAGAGTGCTTTTTCCTTTATACACAATTGAAAACAAAAAGAAAAGTAAAGGTCCTTTAATTTTAATACGGACCATAATAAAAATAATAATAATAATAATAATAATTCTAATGAAAACAAGCGTTATGGAAATTCCAAAAAAGAAATAAAATTTTCAAGATATATGCATTAAAATATAGATAGATTTAGTAAGAATCATTCCAATATAATTTTGAAATTGCATAATAGGCTTTTAATAATTTCTATATCTATATATTATCCATTTTATATCAATTGCAATGAAGATGAGTTCGTTTGCTAAATGAGAAATCTACTTAAGCCAACAACTAGAAAAGCTATGTAACATATACGCATGATACCAAATTACCGTGTCAAAATTAAAAATAAACACACAAATCGTAATATCTCTATTTAATCAAAAAGCACCTAATTCCACACATGAAAATATGAATTAAAATCGCCGAGAAATTTTACAGATGAAGTTTTGTTTGTTTTTATTACACATTTGAGTTTGCATATTATTAGCAACTTTAAGTATGACAAGAAAGCGTCTTTGTATTGTGAGACCACATATAAATGACGAAGAGTAGCTTAAAGAAAAGAAATTTTTAGGTCAATTGAGTTATGCAATCTTAAAAACTGATTACGAATATGAATAAGCATTCGTAAAATATAAATTTTTACTTTAAAAAGGAAGAAATTATTATTTCATTAGTTTTTTTATTACAATTCACTTTGAATTTGGAATGTTGATATTAAACGAATGTAAATATCTGATAAATTGAACGAAAGAAAGAGAAAGCAATGTTTTAGTAACTGCATTTATACAAAAACGCTTACCATTGAGATTAATGAATGTAAACTTTATGGTGAATGTGGAACACGTGTTCATTTATCACTTTTTGTCAAAAAAAAAAAAGAAGAAAAAGATGACACAATTTATAAGTTTACACAACATTAACAAGATTAATATGCAATTAATTTTACATCCATTGATAGTATATTTTTACCTTTTCGTTTTCATTTTTATGTTTTATCTTATGCATCATGCAGCATTAATGTAAACAACAATGCAACTCATATCCAACAGCCTTGGAATTTTCGTGCTTTTCATAAGCTCGTTTATCGATGTTTCCATTTCTGAGCCGAGAGTTGTCTGTTATTACACAAATTGGTCTGTTTATAGGCCGGTAAGTATCAAATGACCTTTATGCTAATCAAATGATATTATCGAAATTATTAGCTTGCTCAAAACCAAATTAGCTTTGTTATATTGACTGATTATTTGATGTTGATGTATATTTAAAATTCTAGGGTACTGCCAAATTCAATCCTCAAAACATAAATCCATACTTATGTACTCATTTGATATATTCCTTTGGTGGATTTACCAAAGATAACCAATTGAAGCCTTTTGATAAATATCAAGACATTGAGCAAGGTATGTTTATAACAAAATAAAGCAAAACTATCAACAAATATAAATTAATGATGATTTCATATTTTTCACAGGTGGTTATGCAAAATTTACAGGTCTCAAAACATATAACAAGGAACTAAAAACAATGCTTGCTATCGGAGGTAATAGTCATAATTTAAATTAATTATTCGTTCATATGTCAACGAATATTTGTGTCTTTAGGGTGGAATGAAGGAAGCACTAGATTTTCTCCGCTCGTAGCCAGTACTGATCGTCGTTCACAGTTAGTAAAGAATACTATCAAGTTTCTTCGTCAAAACAAGTTTGATGGATTGGATTTGGATTGGGGTAGCTAAAACTAATAAAAAAACTCTTGATTTTTACTCATTTACATATTATTATTTTTAGAATATCCTGCTTTCAGAGATGGGTAAAAAACTTTATTTTCAATTAATGTCCTATTCGATACATAATATTTTTTTAAATTTTATTTACAAATTTAGCGGTAAAGCAAAAGATCGTGAAAATTATGCAAAACTTGTTCAAGAATTGCGTGAAGAATTTGATAGAGAACATCAAAAAACAGGAAGACCTAGGCTTTTGCTTACAATGGCAGTTCCTGCTGGATTTGAATATATTGATAAGGGATATGACGTTCCAAAATTAAACAAGTATTTGGATTGGTTTAATTTATTATCTTACGATTATCACTCAGCATATGAACCCTCTGTTAACCATCATGCACCATTATATCCAATCGAAGAAGAAAATGAATACAGCTTCGATACCGATCTAAACATTGTAAGTAGCGATTCTAACAATTATTTTAATAAGGCAAATAAAATTAAACTTCAAATTTAGAATGCTACAATTCATTACTATCTTAAAAATGGAGCCGATCGTGACAAACTTGTTCTTGGAATCCCAACTTATGGACGATCTTATACATTATTCAACCCTGAATCAAATGAAATTGGTTCTCCCGCTGATGGACCAGGTGAACAAGGTGATGCTACACGAGAAAAAGGCTATCTAGCATATTATGAGGTGTGTTCAAATTAAAATTTATTCTATGTGGAATAATAAGTTATATATATCGTAATCTATATTTATTGTTAAATAGATTTGTCAAAGTATTAATGAAGAAGATTCGGAATGGACAGTAGTTCAACCTAATCCTGACGCATTAGGTCCCTATGCATACAATGAGAATCAATGGGTTGGTTATGATGATGAAGCTATTGTAAGAAAAAAGTCTGAATTTGTTGTTGAGCTTAAACTTGGTGGAATTATGTTTTGGTAACTACATTTGAGGTTTTCGATTCCAATAAGACTTTTTACATAACATTTTATTTCAAAAAAAAAATTAGGTCAATTGATAACGATGATTTCCGAGGGTTGTGTAATGGAAAGCCTTATCCACTCATTGAAGCTGCAAAAGAAGCATATTTAGATGGACTAGAGTACGTTTTAATTATTTAATTAAATAATCGTTTTGAATACTTCATATTTGATTTTATATTATTTTTAAAAAAGAAATGGAGTACATAAGAAATCGCAATTTGACTCAAGTAAAAGAAAACAACAAACCACCACTCGAAAACCTGATACGAAGAAAAACTCATTTGCTAAAAGTACAACACCTCCACCTCCAACTACTCCGGTAAAAAAAACCCTTTAAATTCTTTTATAATTTTATTTATACAAAAAAATTTTTTAGAGCTCTGGAAGTGATTTTAAATGTGAAGATGAAGGTTTCTACTCTCACCCTTCAGATTGTACAAAATACTTTTGGTGTTTGGAAGCTCCAGGTCTTGGAATTGTTGCTCACCATTTTTCATGCCCCTCCGGCTTAGTTTTCAATAAAGGAGCTGATTCTTGCGATTATGCTCGCAATGTGCATTGTGAGAAAAAAACGCCAAAAACAACTACAACATCTTCAACAACCAAGCCAACAACAACGTCAACAACGGAGAAAATTTCATATAATAGATTAAGTACAGTTTATAAAAATCCAAGTAGAACTACTCCAAGAACCACAACAACATCAGAACCACGAATTGAAATAGAGTCATCTGACCTTGAACAGGAAGATCCAAAGGTAAAGAAATGAAAGTTACATTACAATTTTTTATTAATTTTTATCAATTGTCAAAAAAGGTTATTAAAGAGTTGATAGAACTTATTAAGAAGGCAGGTGGTATAGAGGAATTAGAAAAGCAAATCAATAATCAAGAAGAGACTTTTAATGGAAAAGTTGATTCTAAAGTAACCACACCTACATCAGCAACGACTATTAATAAGTCACTTGTTGATAAGATCAGAAATCGTGCTTCACTTTTCAAACCTCGTCCACCATTATTTAATGGAGCTTCTCAACCAGAACGTCCAACCGAACAAAAGACATCTACAGAAAAAACATCAAAAAATGATGAAAAGGAACAGTATACTCCAAAAAAATATAATGCTATTAACAGATTTAGTAGACCAGAGCCTCAAAGTGCAGAAATTGAAAAAAATCCAGAATCAGATGCTGTTTTAATTGAAAAACCACAATATACATCAATTTTAAGACGAAAACCAGCTAAACCAGATGTGATAGTTGAAAACGATTATAATAATGATTCGGATAGAACTTCAGAGGAAGTCTCAAAAACAGTATCAAATGAGTCAGAAATAACTAAAAAGTACACAAGCATTAGTCGACCAAGAAGGCCACAAGAACAATTTATTGAAGAATCAGACAATGATGATGAAGAAGATGACGACGACGAAGCAAATGTTGAAACAACTGTAAGAACCACAGCTTCTACTTTCAGATCAACAAATAAATATGTAAATTTAAGTAGAAGAAGATCGACAACACCAGCTCTGGAAGAAAAGTATATATACTCCATGAAATGTTTTCTGTATTAATTAAATAATTTTATTTATTTCAGAACTGACTTATCGGTAGAAACAACAACTTCAACACTTGGATTGAGGACATCACAGCCATTACGAAGGAGAACTACTACAGTAGAATCGAAGCCAACAGAAAAAACGGTATTAAAAATTGATACTAACAGTGAAATTCAAATACCAAGAAATACCCTTGATATCACATTATTCAAAAACACTGCCACAGATATTGAGAGGGATACATTAATTGCTAATAAACACTTACATGAAGATGATGATATTAATCATATAGCTCTCCCTACTGAATCAATAACAGAAAACATATCACCTCCAGACAGCGTTACCACTACACAATTATTTAATACTTTTTCCCCACAATTTAATGCAAATGAAGATAAGGTAAACGATATACTTAATGATGTTGTTGTTGATGGTACTACAGAAATTTCTGATTTAGATTTTACTACAATTAGCAATGAAAATATTGTTGATAATAATGATAATGGCTTATCTGAGCAAAATAATGACCGTTTTATTAACAGAAATGATAATACAGTTCCAAGACCTTTTACACGTTCAAAATTATTCCAAAAAACTACTCCTCCTCCTATATTCTCTAGAAATTCAATTTCTCGTTCTAATAACAATAATCTAAGTGATAATATCAATGATGAACAAACAACAAAAATTGTTCGCCGTCGACCAACAGTAGCTCGTACGTCTACAAGTACACAAGCTAATGACGAGGATGTCATATCAAAACCTCGCCCAACATATTCTTATAGACCAGGATATCGAGGTACTGCTCGTTTTAGGGTTTCCACTACTCGTTCTGGAGAGTATGTTCAAGATGCATTGGAAAGTAAAGTTCAACTTGTAGATGATAACCGATTAAGGTCCCTTAATATTGATAGAGTAAATAAGAGACCTCCAATATCTCCAACGACAACAACTGAACGAATTGTAGACGAAGAAAGAACTACACGTCGTCGACCTGCAGTAACCAGAAGCCGTATTACATCTACAACATTTGCAGAAGAAAATGAGGAAACTTCAACTGAGTCAAGAATAGTTGAAGCTAAAAATCGATTTAGTTTAGATTCCAACGATCGACCTGATCGAATTAGATTTGAGCTGTCTGCAGGAGGAAAAATTAATTTTCCAGAAATTGCTCACAAAAAGGCACAAATAATTGAAAGTAATTCAAAAGTAAAAGTTATAACAGGTCCATTGAATAAATCGCCAATTGAATTTTCAGGTCGAGATCTGAAAAAAGGACACGTAGAAGAAATTCCAATTCAAACATCTCCAGAGACTGTTACAATTCAGAATTTTTCAGACAAATTAGATCTCAATGAAATACCTTTGAATAAATCTGATATTGAAAGTTTTGTATCAGACTCAGATTTAAGGACGGAAAGTTCAATTGTTGAAGAAACAACTTTCTACAAAAAGAGACAGCGTCCAATTAAAATTGGAGTTAAAAAACCAACTGTAGGAGATTCAAGCACTGCTAAAATTATTGAAGAAACAGAGTCAACAACTAGAAAACCGTATTTTAATGGTAACAGATTGTCGTTAAAAATCAGAAGTAGACCAACATTATCGGAAACATCAACAGAAGAAATTGCAGAATCAGGATTCCAAAGAAAATCTCAATATTCTGTAAATCTGCAAAGAAACCGATTCTTAACTAGAACTACCCAACGAAAAGAAATTGATTCTAGCACAGCTAGATATTTAACAAAGATAAAAGTAAGTGATCTACCATTAAGAAATAATTTAAATATAGAGGATAGTGAAAATTCGGAAACACAAGATGCACCCGAGGAAAGCACTTTAAGATCATTTATAGAATCACAACTGGAAGATACCACAATTGATTTAGATGTTTTAGATATGATGACTGAAAAATCGCTGAAGAATGAATATGAAAATGATATATCAACTTTACAAAACGTAGATTATGACGTAACAGAAAATTCTGCACCAGAAACAACATTGCGCACAGTACCAGTAAGAAAATTAACCATTCGCAAACGACCTGCAAAAAAGATTGATTTTTTGGCTCATCGACAAACGATAACAGAATCAGCTAAGGATCTTCGAACCACTCCAGAAATTGAAAACACTTCAAGTTTAAGTATAACAACTGAAAATAATAAGTATGAAACAGAAATCGAGACTTTAAGTGAAAGGGAGACTACAAGCGAAAAGGAATCTTTTGAAACGACTTCTAATAAGCCAACACGTAGACTTCTACTTACTAGAAAGCGTATAAATGAAAATCGCATTTCAACTCAAGAAACAAACGAACAAGAACAGCAAGAGCAAAGTAAAATTTTTGAAAAACAAAGCACGACACCTAAAACAACTAGAAAACGTATTTTAACAATTAAAACAAAAACTGGTGTAATTCAATCTCCTGTTGACATTGGAATCTTTGAAACAACGCAACCTACAACGGAAACTCTAATAGAAGAAAAACAAAAAATTGATGATGTGGATGTCATTCATAAAAGAATAAAAGTATATCGTTCACGAACAACTACAGAAACTGTAACAAAAGAAAGTAGTTCACCCAAACCGATTGTCACTCGAACGAGAGTATTTAAACGACCAGTTACTAAACAAACGGAAACACCAGAAATAATTATTGGCGTAGATGATGAAATATCTTCAGTTAATAAACCCCGTTATTCACAAGGAAGGAAAGTCATCAAAGTCACACGAAGACCAATAAAAGAAGGATCTACAACAGAAGAAGAGAAAGAAGAAAATCAACAAGAGGAAAAATTGATTGAAAGTTCAACAATTGCAAATCAAAAAGCGTTGATCCGAAAAGTTTTGAGAACAAAGACGCCGAGAGTAATTGTTGATAAGCCCATTGAGGATGATCAAGTAGTAATTAAAACGGATGAAGAAATTCAACAAATTGATCAACATGAAGTTAAACTTGAAGAAAGCATTCCAATTGAAAATCAATCAGTATCACCAGAAGAACCATCAAATCCAATAATTAAATATCCTACTCGTCCCGCTGGAAGAGTCAATGTAACGATTAGAAAAAGACCATCATTTAATCAAGGATCACGAACAACTACAATTCATCCAGCTTCTACGAGGTTTACTAAGGACGGAGAACCTAATGTTTCACCAACGCGTTCAAAAATAGGAGGCAAGAAAATATATAGACCAGGCTCTAGAATTTCAGAATCAGTAGTTGAAGAAAATGATCCAGAAGTTAAGCCTTCATTTGGAAAGGGAACCAAAAAGTTTTTCACAAAATCTTATCGAAAAACATCAACAACTACAACAATATCACCAAACATTACACCACATAATATTGACATAGAAACTGAAACAAATGACTATGATGGTGTTAATGACACAACTGATATTCCCGAAATTAACAATAATAATGATATTTTACAGAATGGCAAACCACGTTTCACCTTAAGTCGATTTACCACATCAACTACTTCCAAACCTACTACACTACATCATGTTTTTGCAATTGATATCGAGGAGGATGACATGACAAAATTAAAAAACGCGAATCTTCCTGAAAATCAAGCGGATGAAGTCATTAAAAAGTTACAAAAATTGATTGAAATTAACAGAATAGTAGAAGTTTATTCGAAGGAAGAAAAATTAAAACTTTTGAAAAATAAAAAACTTAAAAGCATAAAAGCTGGAGAATTAACGTTAGAACGTCCACCAGCTTTGGATAGGTTTGGTGAAATTACTCGGCAAGTTATTATTAAATTATCAGTGAAACCAAACAACACTGCATCCCATAATGTCACAACAGAAAATCCAAATGATAACAGATCACCAAAGAATATAATGTTTTCGGAAACAGTTTTTGGAAGGGCAGAAACATCAACTATTAGTTTGGAAGGATTATTTGATCGAGAGAAAAAGGAACTAGAACTGATTAAAGAAGAGATATCAACAGAACCTTATAAAAATTTAATCGATATAGCAGAACTAGAACAAGCTATTCGTAATGAACTTCAGCAACGAATCAACAAAAGTAATGAAGAAACTACAACAGAATCTTTAGAAACAACGACATTAGTTAATGATGACTGAATACCAAATAATTAAATTGTGCGAAGTAAAAAATTCAACAAAAAAAAAATATAATATTCTAAGTAATTTAAAAAAAATCAAGAAAAGCCGGATTAGTGCATTTCTGTTGGTGCTTATCAGTTATGGAAAATAATTTTCCTCAAGGACCAATTCATATTTTAAGATTTCCCCTTTCACCACTTGCTGCTTATTCTTAATATTCTTACTTTTCATACTGAAACTTTCCTTTTGTCTTTAAGAGTATTATTCACAGTGAGATTATAAAGATTTAAAAATAAGAAATCAAAATCCTCAATATCCACGAAACCCATTTTAATTAACTTTTATAGGCCGTTCCATAGAGATATACATATAATTTTTGAAATCGACATAGGTCAAGTTTTACTGAGATAATGCCATAAATAAGTATTAAGTATAAGATTTTATGCTGTATATATAAATGTATATGAAATTAATCAGAAATTAGATAAAAGTGTAATTAATACGAATGTAATTACTACACTCCGTGAACCTCTTTTGCCTTGTAAATAAGATTAAATTCTTCTTTATTCTATTACTAACTTAACATTTGTGTTGATTGTTGTTTTTTAAAAAACAAAATTAAGATATCAACAAGTCATATATGCCATAAATTTTAAGAAATTTAAATTAATTCAAAATCGAGATTAAAGTAATTTTTAATGACTAATCGTCCTCTTTTTTAGCTTTTCTGCATGTATAAAGCTTATCATAAATAATAGAGTATCTGCTACAAAACTTAATTTTGATAGGGAACATGTAATAACAATATATTAAATGTTATTACAAAAATGCTTTATGAATTGTAGAAAGAACACATTTTTATGGTAAAAGGTACAAAATAAAGTTGTTAATACACATGCCTCCACTTCAAAACTATTTTTTCGCTTCTATTATTATGTTTGTTCTACATCCTCAAAGCACTATTTTCTCCTATATTATAATGTATAAACGCAAATCATTGATAAAATTTTCAGATTTTTTTTTTCTAATAACATTTGCTTTATTTTGTATGCATGTTTTCGTTTTATTGTTCGCACATTATGTTATAAACAAATTTTACTTGCACTGAGTAGATATTGCACACACTGTTTGATTGTAAATATATTAAAGGATATCGTGCTTTTTTATTGTGGGAGTGTTGTTAAGTTGAAAAAAAAAGGAAATTAATTAAAATAATTAAAAATGTAGGAAATTCAAACAAACAAATTCCAGTCAAGCAAAAGAAATCAGTTGAGATCTCCGGCGAGAAACCGCACATCTTTAATTTCAAAAAAATTTACAAGAATTTCAACAGAAGTGACAACACCAATTTCTACAACATTATTAAAAACATCAACAACTACATTAAGGCCTCGTACTACAAGAGTGGTGAGAAAAAGAGTGTCATCTATCAATAGACGAGTTTTAACAACAGCAGAGTATGTTCCTACAACTTTAGCTCCATTTACGACAGAATTAACGACAACTTTAACAACAACAAATCCAGTAATAATAAAATACTCCATTAATGATGAGTTTGATGAAGAAATTGCAAGTATCCTACCAGCTTTAACTTCTGTTAGACCTAGAAAACCTTCTTCAAACAATACATTAAATATTGATCATCAGAGTGATTCACTCGCAATCAATCATATTGAAGGAACGTCTAATAATGAAAATACATCAAACTCATTTGACAAAATACTTGAACATCAGTATAAAATCAAAGGACTTGATAAAGATTATGAAGACGAAAAAATTGATGAGGATGAGAAGTTAATTGGTGTTTTAGGATCTCAAGTAACAGATTTTCAAGTTTCTAATTTATCTAATGATAAAAATTATTCTTTTTTTCCTATTTAAAGGTTAAAGTAATTTTACATTCTGTAAGTTCTGATATGGAAAAGACGAAAATTGAATGCCTCGAATTAGGAAACTATCCACATCCATTATCATGTGATATGTATATATCTTGTGCTAAAGTTCGAGGATTTCTAGAAGGATTTATTTTCTCATGTGGCGATGGAATGTCATTTGACCCCATAAGTAGTGTGTGTGATTGGAGTATAAAAATAGGATGCACACGAAATAATGTTAAGCTTTTAACAAGCTAAATAAATCTTGTTATATTTTGTTTTTTATATTATTTTAATGAGGCTTCTATTTCTAGAAGTTCAATCGAAGCCATGTATTCATTAAACTGAACTTTGTAAATAAATTAAAAAGTTGAATCATATAAAATAAAAGATAAATAAAATGAAAATATTTTATAAAGTTAAAAATGGGAAATGAATAAAAAAAATAAGGTGCAGTCACTAACGCCATCTATTTTCTTTTTAAGCTGTTCAATGGATGAATCAACTTGAGAGGAATGAAAAAATCAGTTAAAATTCTCGTTTGTTTATTCCATGAGAAAATTAAACAAAACATTTTTCATGAATCGTTCATTGCTACAAGGGCATTAAAATCTGCGAAGTATAGTAAGAATATGGATGGAGCGTCATTTTTTCTAAACAAATTTTAAACGTAAATAAGTTAAAAATTGGCATTAAATCGTGTACATTTTTCTACTGATTTTGTGAGCAATAAGGATTATATGAAGTGATAACAAAGAAGCGCTTAAAATCAATAAAATATATCTTGGAGTAAAATGTTTATGGCGAATTTTTGAAAAAAAAAAAAATAAGTGTGTATAGCATTTTTTTTTTCTTCTTGTAAATGTTGGTATATTGAAAAAAAATCGTTTATATACAACAATGCATAAACATTATTAAAGAATTTTTTTTAAATAATTAATTCCTTGGGAAGGTGGTAAAATTTTTGAAAAACTATATAGAAAAGAAAGAAACGCATTATATACTTTAAAAGAAAGAAAAATTGCAACAGTGTTAGTGCATTCTCCCGAAAAAAGGAAAAAAAAAGAAAGAAAAATCCCCCTATTATAAAAATTAATTAATTAGGAGACTTCCAAAACAAAAACAAAAATGTCTGATCAGCACCGTGGAGGTGCATGGGGAGCTAGAGAGGATGCCGTATGGTGGCCAGGAACGATCACAGCTGATCAGAATAATTTACATCATCAACAAATTATTAATCAGCATCATCAACAAAATCATATGCAGCAACAACAACAGCAGCAAATACATCAAGTTGTAGTTCAACAGACTCAAGCATTAAATGATGCTGTTAGAAATAATAGTACGACTTCCAGTGTAGCTTCTCAACAGCTTTTTTCATATAAAATGGCCAGCAGTTTCCCATCAACTAACGTAGCTACGTCAAATGCTGCATATGATTATCGTTTAGGAATGGGAGCAACACAAGGTATGAATGTCACTTCTTCGCCAGGAACACAATGGTGGTATACTGCAGCTGGTCAAAATGCCCTAGAAAATTTACAACAAGCTCAACAGCAACAGCAGCAGCAGCAGCAACAACAAGCTCAACAGCAACAACAACAACAACAACAACATCAGCAGCAAGTAAATCAACAGACACAATCTCAGCAGCATCAATCTCAAAACTTACATAATGTACATTCAAGCCCAGCTTCGGTAAGCCTGTATTTCCTGATATTACTATCCTCGTGTATTTCTGTTTTGATTCTCTCTCTCTCCCTTCCGTGCTATCATCAAAACAAAAAAAAAAAATAGAGAGCATCAAAAATATGTAATATTCCCAAAAGAAAATAGCAATAATAGCAGCCATTAATAGAAAAATAATAACAACAAAAATAATAATGACAATAATGTTTGAAAAGATGAAAAGAACATTCATAAACAGCCAAAAGAAAATTCTCTTTGAACCCACGTGCTCTTTTATAACAATTATATTGTTATTATATACTATACTATGCTTTGGAATGCTTAGTGCCATTTCAAATGCGAACGAGAGAGAGAGAGAGAGAGAAAAAGAAAGAAATTATTGTCAATTGTTATGATAAACAAACATACAATTATAGAAAACATGTGTTTATTGATAAATAATATATTTGCTTTGCTATATTATGTATGAATGATTCACATGTCAGCATAATATTTCTGTATTTGTGAATGCATTTTCGTTTTCATCAATGATTATATTTACGTCGACGTTTGATAATGAAATTTTTTATGTATTGTATAGCGTATAGATATGAATTCATATTCAGTTTAGGATACACGTAAATTGCCAATTAATAATTGTTTTCGTCTATTGTTAATCTACAAACTCATTTTTTTGAAAGACCAGATAAATTAAGAAATATTTTGAGTGAAAGACTTTAGTAACGTTTTAGGCTCAGCGATGCGCGCGTTGCATGTATGTGTTTTTATTAGCGTATGTATTGTGTTAATGCCCCTTAAATTTTTTTTAAAGAAAAAGAATGATTAAAAAATAAGAAAAATGAAGCCACGAGACCGGTTTTTGTTAAAGAGAGAAGAAAGAAAAAAATCGACTAACATCTTTCTTGAAACAAGAAAAAAAAATGAAACAAAGGGATAGACTTTTAAAGAATATTTTCATTATAACTCTCATTACTGAATAGTTTATTTTGAACTATAGTAATTAATCATTTTGAAGGAGTTAGAAAAGATATATCTATACAAACATTTTGAAGAATGAAAAAATTTAAAAACAAATGAATTGACTAGTGCTCAATCTTTAACATCCATAATATTCACATTAATGATGATGACTAACAATTCTCTCCATGACTTATTTATCTATTGTATGCATTGAAATAATAATTTGGATTTATTTATTTATTTTTTAAATTTCTTTAGAATCAAACTCACGTACAACAAAATGTAAATCAGAATCAGAATAATCAGATTGCCGCAAAAATGAATCGAGGAAAGGCTCAGGATGCAAAGCCCCGTGGACGAATGACTGCATATGCTTTCTTTGTTCAAACATGTCGTGAGGAGCATAAAAAAAAGCACCCTGAAGAATCTGTAATATTCGCAGAGTTTTCAAGGAAGTGTGCTGAACGATGGAAGGTAAGAAAAAATTTATTAAATGTTAAGTATCAATAGTCATACCTAAACCAGTAAATAAATTCCCAATTGTGTACATAATGCATACGGATTAAAGATCAAGACAGATCAACTGATTCACATTCGCTTGTATTTGCGATTTCCTAAAACTGGTTTCATACTACCACTTGAAATTTTTATTAAATGTGGTTACTCCCTGTAAGATCAATTACTTCCTATTTTTTTTTTTGAGAATTGGTATTTTCATGCATGCGATTTTTAGATCCATATTAATGTTAGTCACAAGCAGCAATATTTTGTTTAATTTTCTAATTTCCATTTTTTTAATAATACCTTCAAAATAGGCTTTTAAAAAACAGGCAAGAGGAAAAATAGAAATTGGGACAGTTTTCCGAAATATCACATTTTCTCTTTCTTTCCCTCCTTCTCCTTTACTCAAAAAACTTTCCTTCCTTATTTTGAAAATATATGGCATGCATATTTCAGGTTTATGTATTATTGCGTTTGCGCTTATAATTTTTACATATACGGGAAGGAAAAAAAACTGCCACAGGGTGTCTCATCAGTCGAAAATATTGAAATAAGATTGAGCAATTGTATGAACATGTTCAAGTTCAAAGTTAGTAAATTTTTGCGGGCAGCGATGCAGAAATTTAATTTCTTACAAAAATGTTATTATTTTAAAAATGAGAATCTAAATTGCCGCTTCTCGCTTCACAGAAATTATTTTACATTCTTATCTGGAGATACAATCATTCTGTCCGAACGTTTTGAAGCTTCAGCCGTTTCCTTCTTTAAAAAATCGATCGCGCGAGGAAGTTTTGATACATGCTTTCTATGTAAACTCTTATGTATATATATGTGTGTCCATGTATAGTCTTTTTATATACAACATACATTATTTTGATTGTATGCGTAACTTGTTTCATTGGTGTCTTTTGACTGCAGATATCTTCAATACTTTGCGTTAATTTAAAAAGAATTTTTTTATTTTTATTTTTTTGTTTATAAAATTTGAGTAAAAAAAATTAGGCGCCAAATTATGCATTAGTACACTATATCTTCGTCTTAATTTAATATTAATTGTAACATTCATGTTAAAACACAGATTCTCAAACTTTTGTTTGGTAACAGATGTGTTATGCTTGAGATAATTTAAGATACTATAATGTTTCTAGTCGCTTTAGATGTCATTTAAATTTTTTAAAAAAATGTTCTGTCTACTTATTGTTTTAGACAATGCTTGATAAAGAAAAGAAACGCTTCCATGAAATGGCAGAAAAAGACAAGCAAAGGTATGACATGGAAATGTCAAATTATGTTCCTCCAAAAGGAGTTGTAGTTGGACGTGGTAAAAAACGGAAACATCAAAAGGATCCAAATGCTCCTAAAAGATCACTTTCAGCATTCTTTTGGTTTTGTCATGATGAACGGAATAAAGTTAAGGCACTTAATCCCGAATATGGTGTAGGAGATATTGCTAAGGAACTTGGACGTAAATGGTCTGATTGTGATCCCGAAACTAAAAGCAAATACGAGGCTATGGCTGATAAAGATAAACAGAGATATGAAAAGGTGAGAAAATTATTTAAACAACATAAAGACAATTTATTAATAATAATTTGTATATTTCTTTTTTAGGAAATGACGGATTATAAGTTAAAGTGTAGAAATATACAACAAGGTATTCCACCTCCGAATCACATACCACAACAGCAGGTGAATTCTCAAATACATCATGATGATGAGGATTCAGGTGATGAGGATGGGGATGGAGGTGGTGAGGATTAGAAATATGACGCGTTCATGATAAAGAGATTCTAAGGTTTGAAATTTTATAAAAAGAACTAGACAGTAAACTGTAAGTTAAAATTTCTTTGATTATGATAATAATATTAGATTGGTAATTTTGTCTCTCAGTATAAGCTTTTTAACTTCGACTACAGAACGCAGTAAGTGAAAAATAATTAAATAATAAAAAAAAAGAAAACATAATAACACTTGTAGTCAACTACTGTAAGTATTTTAAAGGCAATATAGTAGTTGAGTAACGTGAATAACGATGAACACTTCGTGATTTATGAACGTGTAATTATAATGAAATTAATTAAAAAAGAATATTTTTATTGTTTGATTTTTTGTCTCCTAAACGAAGAAATTTTATATTAAATAAGAATAAAAAAGAATATAGAACGAAAAAAATGGAGTTGATTGAATGGATGGAAGACGCTTTCATATGAGAAATTCAATGCATAATTCGATAGTTAACAAATACCTACATTATCTGTTTTCATAAGAAATTAAATTGAGAAAAATAAAATTGTACATGTGAATTATCATAAACTGAACACATAATGTTATGAAAGTGATATCCATTCATTTTGATATTTTCCATAACCTTCTCTACGTATCAAACCTAAATGAATCTGTCATCTTTTTATAATAATAAAATGATAATACTCGGTTTTTAAAACCGACACAGTACAAAATAATGAGAAAATGGTTTAAAATTTTTGGTTATAAATAGTACTTTTTTTATTTTGTTTTACTTTAATGTCAAAGTTCATGAATTATAAGAAAGAATTTTTTTGAAGTAAGCTTATCCTTTAAGTTTCAAATGTAAAATGTCCGACTTTTTATGAAAATTAATTTTTATTTATTTTTTTATTTGTTACAAATTAGGACATTTCTAGTAAATAATAAATAATAAACTTGTGCGAAATGCAAAAAAAAATTAATTTGATTGAAGAAGAGAGATTTAAAAAATAAATAACAAATATAAAAATTATGAGAAAAATATCTCCTCACAATTAGAATAGTTTCATCCAGTCAAATTTTGATCGTAAGAATGAGAAAATTATTTCGTTTTTTGTTTTGTAAATATGCTTAAACAGAAAAAATCAATTACTCAAAAGAAAGAAGAAACTCCAAATGAAGGACATTTACATTACATAATTGATAAGAGATTAAACATGGATCAGTTTTAGATTTTTCATGCATTTACCTTCCCATTAATTTTGTATAAAACTAAAAGAAAGTAATACAAAAAAAAATCATTCACATAAAGCATAAATTCATACGTATAAGCATACAGACTTACACATGCTGAAATTGATCCAGTTTCTAAACAATTGATTTAATTTTCTTTAGACTAAAATAAATGATTCATGTGTAATGCAATAACTTTATGCCTTTCTATGTTTAAATTATTGCAATATTCGTGAATAGATATTTAAATGAAATACGTTTGTATTTAAAATTAATTAAAATTTGTCGTAATAAGAAAATAAACATTGCCAGGATGCATCAATTTGGAAAAAATTTAAACGATATTATTAAAGTATAATAAAAAAACAGCTACCAAAACTAACGTTGAAATTTGTTTGATTTTTTAATATCATACATCATGTCAACCTCCTCTCGTTTTCATGCCTGAAAATTCCATAAAAATAAATAGGTACAAAAGAAATTGAATTTGATTACAACGACGTCCATATTGAACTGGAAAATCGTTTGAAATTTCTTTAAAATTGATGCAACTTGAAGTCGAAAATATGTTGGTTTTACTAATGTGAATAATCATTTGTTCTAAGTTATCTAAATGACAAAATTATTCCAAACTAATTTCACCTATTTAGACTGAACAATCATTAAAAAAAATAACACTTGATTTTGGAATGAGATGATTCATATTAGTGAAATCATCCACTAAAATTTTAAGTAAAATAATGGAAAATACAATATTATTCTTCCCTATTAAATTTAATTTAAATCTTCAAATGAATTAATTGAGAATATCAGTAATGATCTTGATCATGAAATGTTTAGTAAATGTTTGTTTTACTTATTAAAAATCCTATATCATTGGTAATTTAATCAATGATCTAATCAGTTCAAAGCGGAATGAGGAAAAAGAAAATGAGAAACCAATGGTCTCAGAATTGCCGTAATAACATATTGAACGATATGAAAAATTGTTGCCATGAACTATTGAGTATAAATATATTTACTTGATTTTTTTTTTAATTTGAAAATAACATGTAAAAATTATAATGAGAAAAAAAAAACACAAATATCGACAAAGGATAGATTAAGAGTTAAAAATATAAATTGCTTTTTACGAATGATAAAAAATTCATTATAATGCTAGTATAACTTACACAAACAAAAGTTTAACATTATACACATCACAAAATGAATACTTTTGATTCTTTAACTTTTTTTTTTAAAAAAACGTAGAGAAAATTTTTCGATTTGTTAATATCACAAAGCCACATTTTTTTTGCTTTGAAATTTATTGATAAAGAAAAATCATCCTAAAGAAAAGAACTAAAACAATTATAAAACACATTAAAATAATGTATGAAAATGATTTATATTATTACAAAGGAACTTAATAATTTATATTAAAAAAAAAACAATAAGAGTGGATTGTATGATTTAACATTCGAAGTAACACTAGACGCAAATGAATCATCAAGTATTAATTCAATGCTCTAATAAACGATGAGCAGATCTTTTATATAGATTTATGGTTAATATTACTGTAAATACTGTGCAACCACTTTGTTTCCTTTCTCATGCACCATTTTTCTATGATTATTTTTATTATTAAAGTTATAAAATTATTCATTAGTTTTTTAATTTAAAATCATCGTTTTCAAAAAATTAAAATTTTACTCCTTTTTTGTAAGAATATAAGTAAAAAATGATGATGACGATGATGATGATGAGATTATTCATTCATAGATTGTATCAACACGTTTGTTTTTTTTTATTTTGTAAAAATGATATAACAATTAGAAACAATAAAAATTCAAAGAGAAAGAATGCAAAATTTTGTCTTAAGATTTTATTGTTTTTCAAACGTGCTTTATTCAGATATAAAAATAATAACCATAACTTTTCACAATTTAAAAAAATATGTGAGTATATAAGGTAGGTAGAAATTTATCCAGTGTAAATACTGGTTCATAGTTAACTTTATTTCAAAGCCTCAATTTTCAGGAAAGATTAAGGAACCGTATGAGTTATAATGAAATACGAAATACAATATATGGAATAAAAGTGAAAAGCAATCTAATCAAATCTTCCACCTTTTTTTTTTGTCAATGATGAATGAAAATTTCTTATTTTTACAAATTTGATTTCATGAAGGGTTTCAAATATAAATGGAATGATTTATTAACATCTTCTTGATTTAATGGCGATTTCATTGCAGCATTAATTAAGTTTTCATACACGTTCCCATCATAAGTTCCTAAAACAGATCCAAGAATTTGATCTGGATGATCAAATCCATCTACTATTCCAAGAATATTGTATCTTAACTTTTTCAATAACGCTTCCAACGATCGTTGCAGAAATTCGATATCGCTTGATGTCATATTTGCAAACTACAAAATAAATTATTAAAATTAATAAATTACAAAGAAGGTTTTCAATTACGATCGTACCTCCAGCAAACTTCCGGTGTATCTTAAAGCCAAATCGACAGAATACAATTCTAGCAAATCTTTCAAAACACTTCTTAATTGAAGAGATGTTTGTTTTGTTGAATCTTCTAATACTTCAATTGTTGCTTGTAGCAAAAATGCTTGACAATGCAATTCTGAAGCGTTAATAAGTTCCAGACCAGTTTGATTTGTAGCTTCTTCTGGTGAAAGATATTTTTTTCTTTCTTCTAAATGCTTATTGGATTCGGCAATTTTTTTAGCGGCTGCCAATTGAAAAGCTTTCAAAATACCGGATGGTGAATTTTGGAATGATTGCCTTGAATTGCGTCCCTTGATAAAGTTTTCCAAATATGAAACTGTTGGAGTAAGTTTTTCGCCGTTCATTGCCTTTTCCCAGCATTTGATCAGGTACCTTGCAGTTTGTAAGAACATTACAGTATTTTCTCCTTCGTATGTTTGTGCAGCCGTAACCATTCCATAAATATCTTGAAAGCCTGCCGAGTTAAGATAACCATGTCCACCAGTTGACAAACGACATATTTCAACTGCTTGGGCAGCCTCATTTGTGCAAACAGCCTTAAGACAACATGAAATAGCGTGTAATTCTGGGAGTCTTTCTAAATCACCTTTATCGAGGTCATGTGTGACTTGATTGTACATATCCCACAAAAATTCGGCAGTTATTTTAAATACAATAACTTTGGCGATAGCAGGAAATATTTTATATTGTTGAGTGACATGTTCTATTATTTTCGGTTCAGGTTTATTTGGCTCAATCGGACTTTGTCGACGAACCATAGAATATCTTAATGCAATAGTTACTGCCTTTGATAAGTAACTTGCCATATCCTTCAGTATAACAACACGCACAAACATCATTGTACCATAAGTAAGAACTGAACTTTTGGGTTTAATAAATTGTCCATCTTCTAATACTTTTGCATTTTTCATTAACATGTTTTTCAGTGGAATACGCACATTATCAAATGCCAAAAATCCATTATTGACCGTATTCATTCCAACTTTATTTCCAATTTCACCAATTTTTATACCCTTCAGTGGCATATGCGTTTCTTCATCTCTAAGTTGTACAATGAAAGGCTGAATACCGTGACATTTTCCAAGTGAATGAAGTTGGGCAATAACAATAGCATAATTTGTAGTATGTCCTAAGCCACCTGGCCACCACTATAAAGATTAAAATATGAAAAACTATTAATTACAGGAAATTCGTATTATTAACATACCTTGTATGATGTAAGATTTGGGGAATTCAGAATAAATTCTTTTGATTTTGGATCATAAGTTGCTGTTGTTTCAAGACCACGTATATAAGTTCCGTGACCTAACTCTGTTTGAGCATACGTTCCAATTATGTTACAGTTCCATGCACGAGATATCCATTCTGCTTGCTGATCACTGGTGCCATGATTCATTATTGCTGGTAGAAACATAACGAAATGAACAGTTATTGGATTTGCTTCGCGAAAAATTGCTGTACCAAGGGTTCCACCTAACAAAGCCCTGTTTTAAATGTGTAAAGATTTCATTATTTTGAAACATCAAAGCAATAAAATAAATTAATAATGATTACATATAAATGTCAACACCGCCTCTTCCATCAGCCTGAAGTTCTTTGATCTTATTAACAACAAGAACAGCCTTACGCACTGCATTTTCATATTTCTCTTTGTGGCTTAAATAACTTGTTGGCACTTTATCCTCCAACTCAGGGTCAGATAAGAAAAAGTTTTCTGCATAGGATCAATATTTAAACTTTATAAATCATTCAAATTTATGATCATTTTTTTACATACCAAGAAATCTCTTTTCAGCAACATTTTCTGCGCCTTTATAATACCAATTAGTAAACTCTTCAACATCAAATTCTACTTTCTTTCTTTCATCACTCAAATCAGGATTAACTTTAGTAGCACTTGTCATTTTCAGTTTCGTTGTTATTTTTAGCTCTTAAATTTTTATTATTACTGATAATTCTCACTCTATAAATGAAATAATATTTTAAATCTTTCAAGATTATACTACGTGAACTTTGAGACGAACTCAATTTATAAGTGTATTTTTAATTGTTTAGTACTCTTTTTTGCTATCCCCACTCCTAATTACTTTCGCTTGTTTGATACTTACGGTATATTACACAATGTGGTAAATGTTACAACAATGTGACTTTAACGATACAAGTTTTGCTCTTGTTAAATCAAAATTTTATTGTGTTTTATCGGTATTATCATTGATTTACAAAATAAAAATATTAATTTCTGTCGAGCACTTGTAATGGAAAAACAAGTACAAGTCGCATAGGATAAATGTGCGTGATCTTGACAGTATAAAATATTTGAATTTAAGTAGGAATATTATACGTTAAAAAAAACTTTTCTCATTTATGTGAAAATCATAATTTTCATTTTGTATGTATCATTATTTTTCATAATACTAAATTGTCCACGTTTTTTACACAAAATCATTGGAATCCAGATGAAATGAATAAAACAGTATTTTAATTTGCCATAATGTCCTATCCTAAGTTCCGCATATTTTTGGAATAGTTTTGATAAAGCAGAATAATTGATAATTTATTTTTGAATTTTCTTAATAAGCATTTAATATAAAGCTAGTAAGTGTCCCTAACATACAAATAAATATACTCATGGTACCGTAACATACTCAAGAGTATATTCTGAACATACATATTCTATAGAGTATGTTACGGTACCATGAGTATACTCACTTGTCGGTTAGGATATGATATCGTGTAATAAATTACGGACAGCATATTAAACCCCGATTGAATATAATTTTTTATTTGGATCTTTAGGGTTTATATGAAGGACAAAATAAATAACATCTCCTTTTTGGATTCCGATATTTTCAAAATTTAACATTTGTCATTTAATAGATTTTTAATATAAATTCCACAACCATTGCTTAACAATTACAAATATAAAATATAAAATTTTTTGACTCAACATGTTTTGTTAAAATCAATTCAAAATTTGTTAAAATTACAGACATATAAATAGAAAATAAAACCTGTTTAAAATTTAATTACAAGTTAGATTTCATGAAAGGTTTTATATAAAGATGAAATGTTCTATTAACATCCTCTTGATTTAGTGGCGATTTTCTAGCGGCATTAATTAAGTTTTCATATACGTTTCCATCGTAAGAACCCAAAGTTGAATCAATGATAGGATCAGAAAAATCAAAGCCGTCAACAACTCCAATAGCTGATGTCCTAAAGAATTTGAATAAAGTCTCCATCTGTTTTTCTAATTTTTCAATATCTTCGTTAGATATATCAACATGCTGTGAATTAAGAGTTATGTATTATTGGAAATTTATTAACTGTCTTTAAATAAAACTTTACCTGAATGACATCGCCAATTTTGTTAAGGATTAAATCAACTGCAAATAATTCTAAGATATTTTTGAAAACCAACCCAAGAGCTGGAGATACATTACGAATTATCTTTTCAATTTCTTCAATTCCAACTTGCAAAAGACAGACGTAACCATGAAGTTCTGCTGCTTTTGTTAAGTGCACACCTGCTAAATTAGTTGCAACTTCAATTGAATTATGACGCTTGTCATCTTCAATGTGTTTCCATGCAATATATGTTCTACCAGCAGCAGCAGCTTGAATGGCTCTCAAAATTCCATTAATTGAATTATCAAAAATTTCACGCTTTCCGTTTCGTCCAATAAAATCAAATAAATATTTTACTCCTTCTGTCAAGGATCCACCGTTTCTAGCCTCATTAAACGATTTGATTAAAAATCGAGCTGCTTGTAACAACATAACTGTATTTTCGCCTTCATACGTCTGTGCAGCAGTTGAATTTCTATACACATCATCTAATCCAGCTGAACGTAAGAATCCATGTCCTCCACATGAAAGTCGACAAACTTCTACAGTTTTTGCATCTTCATTAGTACAAACAGCTTTTAAACAGCATGAAAGTGCATGTAACTCTGGCATTCTAGCCAAGTTGCCTGTATTTCCTTCTTGTGTTATTGAAAGATGCAACTTTGTTAAATAGTCAGCCATACATTTGAAAACAACAGCCTTGGCGATTCCTGGAAAAATCTTATTTTGCTGTGTAATATGTTCAATAATTTTTGGTTCTATTTCATTTGGATTAATAGGGCTTTGGCGTCGTACTAAAGAATATCTTAAAGCTATTGTTGTGGCTTTGGCAATACGACAAGCAGCATCTATTATCATGTGAACTCGAATAATAACCATAGTTCCATAATTAAGTTTAGCATTCTTTGGTTTAATGAAAGTTCCATCTTCAAGCAACTTTGAATTTTTCATCAGCATGTTTTTATAAGGAACTTTTACGTTCTTGAAACCTAAAAATCCATTATTTACCGTTTGGAAACCGACTTTATTACCAATATCTCCAATATCAATTCCAGGTAAAGGTTTATGTGTTTCTGAATCTCTCAATTGTACAATAAATGGTTGTATTCCATGACATTTCCCTTGTGAATACAATTGTGCCATAACAATAGCATGATCAACTGTATGTCCAAGATTTCCTGGCCACCATTTGTACGATGTTAATGTTGGTGAATTTAAAGTAAATTCTTTTGTTTTCGGATCATATGTGGCCGTTGTTTCCAATCTTTGAATATAAGTTCCATGTCCAAGCTCCGTTTGTGCGTATGTTCCAAGAATATTACAGTTAAAAATACGAGGTAACCATTCTGCTTTTTGTTCATCATTAGTCATATTCATGATAGTAAGTGCAAACATTGAAAAATGCAAAACTAAAATTGAAAAAAAAAACATATAAAAAAAAACATTCTCTTCATCTATTTTTAAATTAATTTACCGAACGGATTTCCTTCAGGATTTATTGCTCCCATTGTAAAGCGAAGATTTTCCATAATTTTTCTAAATAGAAATTCGAAAACTTTTTCATAGTTGTTTAAGAAAATTTTAAATAGTTTTCAACTTACACAAAATCTTCATGTGTTCCACCCATTTCGTTATGAAGTTTATAAAGCTTTTTGTAAACAACAATACTCCTTCTGACAGCTTCTTCATATTTGTCCTTATAGCTCAAATAACTCGTATCAAGTTCTAAATTTAGATCCTTATCAGATAAGAAATAATTTTCTGAAAGCATATATATTATTTTATTAACAAAGATCAATGTTCAACTGAATTTATAGATTTAACAAAGATTAATAATTTCAAAAGGTAATTCTGAATGCACCTTTAGACTTGAGTAAGATTATCGAATTGAACACTTACCAATATATTTCTTTTCCTTTACTTTTTCAGCTCCACCATAAAACCAATTGGTAAATTCTTCAACATTAAAATTAATTTTGTCACGTTCTTCTTTTAAATCCTTATTAACAATACTTAAGTTTTTCGACATTTTGAAATGAGTAAAAACTATACAAAGTTTCCAAACAAACTATTATTTTAAAAATATTAAGCAGTGTTAAGTTATTACGACTTTACTCAAGCTCTTAACAGTGGCAACTAAAATAAAGTGTCATTTGTGACTGAAAAAGAAATGAAAACGAAAGTAAAAAAAAAAAAAGCTTTTGTATTAATCTTATCTAATTCTGTATTAGTATTGTGTATGATGTGCATATACATATATATATACATTTCATTTCTTGATTATTCTCTTTAATTAATCGTTCTATATCAAAGTTCATTTACCACAACCATGAATTACAATTTTACAAGGTACAAATCACATATGAATATTTATTTATAAATTTGATTTCATAAAAGGCTTCAAATATTTTTCAAAGCTTTCATTCACGGGCTGATGATTCAAAGGCGAATTTGATGTTGCTTCAATTAATCGTTTATAAACATTTCCATCATAAGCTCCAATAGTGGAATCTAAAATCTCATCTGAAAAATCAAACGCATCTGCTACACCAATTACATATTGACGTATTCTCTTTAGAACTGCAACTAATCGTCCTTGTAATCTTTCTGATGCAACAGAATTTATGCTGATATGCTGCAGATGAAAATTAAAAAAAATAAAGTCAAGTAATGAGGTTTTAATTTTTAATTATTCATTAATACCTGTATCATATCTCCCATATAATTTTTGGCAGTATCTACCGTAAAAAGCTCAAGAATATCTTTGAACACATAGGAAAGTTGAGGCGAAGACTTTTTTGAAACCTTTTCAAGTTCATTTACTGCAGTTTGAAGTAAAAATACTCTACCATGAAGTTCTGAAATTTTAACCAATTCTAAACCGCAAAAGTTTCTTGACTCTTCTTCAGAAAACGTTTTCTTTTTTTCTTCAACATGCCGATATGCAGTTGCAATTTTTGCAGCTGCAGTTGATTGCATAGATCTAAGTATTCCTCTTGGAGAACTATCGAATGATTCTTTTTGTTTTTGATTAGAATTAATATGATATTTCAAATATGCAACAGTTGATGGGAGTTTTAATCCTTTTAATGCTTTCTCCCAACTTTTAAGTAAAAATCGTGCTGTTTGTAAAAATAAAACTGTATTTTCACCTTCATACGTTTGAGCTGGTGTAACCATTTTATAAATATCAGTAAATCCAGCAGAATTTAAATATCCATGACCTCCACATGATAATCTACATATTTCTACATCTTTGGTTGCATCATTTGTGCAAATAGCTTTTAAACAGCAAGACAAGGAATGTAATTCTGATAGTCTAGATAAATCACCATTATCAATTTGTTTCATAATATCATAATAAAATTTCCACATAAATTTTGCAGAAATATTCATAACTATTGCCTTAGACATTGCAGGAAAAATTTTATATTGTTGCGTAATATGCTCAATGATTTTTGGCTCAGGTTTATCAGGATCAATTGGACTTTGACGTCTAACTAGAGAGTATCTGATAGCAATAACAACGGCTTTTGCTAAAAATATTTGTACTTCATTAATTATTCCTATTCTTGTCATTGTCATTGTTCCATATGTTAGCAAAGGATTTTTATGAACAACATAGTCTCCGTTTTCTGTTACTTCAGAGTTCTTCATCAGCATATTTTTACGTGCAATTCTTACATTGTTAAATGCAAGAAATCCATTATTAACAGTATTATATCCCAATTTTGTTCCAATTTCTCCAATATTGATTCCAGAAAGTGGCATATGAGTGTTTTCATCACGTAGTTGGACTATAAAAGCATGAACTCCCTGACAAGTATGATTTGTGTAAAGTTGTGCCATAATAAGTGCATAATTGACAGTATGTGCAAGGTTTCCAGGCCACCACTTATACGATGTAATTGTTGGAGAATTTAATAAAAATTCTTTCGTAGATGGGTCATATGTTGCTGTTGTTTCAATACCTCTGACATATGTCCCATGACCTAATTCCGTTTGTGCGTATGTTCCTAAAATTTCACATTTTGCTGCTCTTGGAATCCATTCTGCTTGCTGTTCTGTAGTTCCCATACTTTTAATTGCCGGTAAAAACATATCGAAATGCACACCTAGAACATTCATGCATACATAAAATTATTTCAAATTAATTAACGTATCAGTAATTTACTTATTGGATTCCCTTCCTTAATAAGGTGTTTTATAAATGTTCCACCTAATATTTTTCTATAAAATTGTTCAAAATTTAAAAGTAAGATAACAAATATTCAAGTTATCATATATTTAAAATAAATTTCCATAAAACTTACGGATATAATTCTTCACCATATTGACCTTTATTTGTAAGTTGTTTCAACCTTTGCAGTATGATGCCAACTTTTCTAATAGCTTCTTCATATTTCTCAACATGACTCAAATAGCTTGGATCCGCTTTACTTATTACACCATTATAAAAGTAGTTTTCTGAAAACAACGAATGATTTCTCTTATGACTGTGAAGATCATGTACTAAAGATCACAGTTTCAGTACCTAAAAATCTTTTTTCTTTGACTTTATCAGCACCTCCATAAAGCCAATCAGTTAATTCTTCTACATTAAATGGAACTTTTTCACGTTCCTCTTTAAGTTCATTATTCATTTCCAATATAATGGATTGGTTGCTTCTTTAATAAAATGAAAACGTAGACTGTGCTAAAACACTTAAATTTTCATTAATATATTAGCTATTCTTATCAAGAGAACTCTCTTATAAAAAAAAGAGAACGAAATCTATATAATTTTGAATTTATTTTTAAATACAATAACGACAGTACCTCAATCTAGAAATTCCTAAAATGCAGCTCCCCTAATATGCAGATAGTACTGCCAAGATGCAGATGGTACTGCTAAAGTGCAGATGAATTTTATTTTCCCTAAAATGCAGATGAAATGCTGTTGCTTCAAAAAAGGTATAATGCAGATGATTTTTATTGTATAAAGTGCAGATAAGATGCTGCCCAAATGTAGATCGTATAATTTTATTAAAATAAAGATGAAATGCTGTTATAATGTAGATAATTTAACGTTGGATATTAAATTTTTGGGCCCCGACGAAAAATAAAATTATTCGTGAGTGACGCTTTGGTTTCTTAAACATATTCGAAACTACAATAGTGACAAATTTCAAAGTTATTTTATCTTGTAAAAAACAAAAATCGCTTTCTTTTGACATAGAACTTACTTCCTAAAGTTAAGGCGTTATGTCAGAAAATCAATTTAATTAAACGTCACTCACGAATATTTTTTGTGAATTTTGTTAAAACTTTGTCAGCTTTCATTGATATATCTACAAATGTATTTTTTAAATTCACACCGTTTTCACATGTGAATCTATTGGTTTTGTTCAGATGGAGACATCAGATTTTCGCATTTTGTGAGAAAACGAAGCAAAATTGGTTATAAAAAGTCTCAGAAGTAAAGTTTGTGCCTGAAATTTTACATCATTTTGCGGCATTGCTGAGAAAATCGCAAAATACGCTTTCTGTAAGCAAGCAAACAAGAAAGCAAGTTAATCAGCAAGAAATCTCAATAACGAGACATCGTAGAGAATTCTAGTTTTTTACATTTGATCCGTGCTGCTCTATAGAATAGCTGTACAGTTTTTGGGCAAGGTACGAACAGTCGTTGCTTCAGAAAAAGCAAAAAACTTTCCTTTCTTACGAATTTTTCAAAACAAAAGTTTACTGTGATTTTTATAAAATTCAACTTTGGATGAAAAATGTTTTTAAAAAACTTTTAAAGAATATTCGTTTAGCTTTACACCTTCAAACTTATGCTGAGCGAAGCTTAGCTGGTTCGTCAAGATTTATACTTTCAAATTAATACTGAGCTAAGCTTGGTCTTTCCACAAGACTTTTGATGCTACGGTGCGAATATATCCGCATTGGGTTTCTACCCGATACACTAGTTGATGTTATTAAAAAAGTTCAGGAAAACAAAAATGTATTTTTGAATACATTGCAAACTTTATGACTTTAATTTATGATTTATGATTTAAATCATTTTGTATAGGTTTTTTTTTGGGATTTTAAATCACTTGAAGGTGAAAATGTGTGTGTAATTTTTTTTTATTAACACGTTTCAAGAAAAAAAATCATCGAATATGATGTATTTTAATAAAATTATCTTCATTTGGGCAGCATCTTATCTGCACTTTAAACGATAAAAATCATCTGCATTATACCTTTTTTAAAGCAACACCATTCCATCTGCATTTTAGGGAAAATAAATTTCATCTGCACTTTAGCAGTACCATCTGCATCTTGGCAGTACTATCTGCATATTAGGGTAGCTGCATTTTAGGGATTTTTAGATTGAGGTAACGACAATACCTAAAATTATTTTTAACTTTATCAAAAAAACATGAAGCAAACGATTATTATTTTTTTCATTTTTGAGATAAGATTTGCGACATTATTGAGAGAGAATGATAGTGAAGAGTATGAATCGAGAGAGCGAGAATATCATGTACTAAGTCTTTCCAAAATTTTTACAAGCCGCATTTACAAACTTTTTAATGTTTTGTTTAAGAAAAAAAGCTGCCCTGTTGCATCTTATTTTTTCAAAGGAGAATTATTAACAATACTTAAATATATTAAGTGGTGTTTATAAAAACTACAAAATTGATAAGACAAAAAAAAATCATTGATCTCATCGGCAGTGACTTTATTTAAGAAAATCAAAAGGCTTTTTATTCTGTTATTCATTTAATTTTTTAATTTTTCTTAAATTTCTCGAACAATTATCAAGATGATAAGGACAGTTTATTATAATATAATATTTTTATTGTTAGTCAATTTTTCACTCGAATATGAGGTAAAAAAAAACAATCTAATTTATTAGCATATGGAAAATAAACTTTTGTGTTTTTTTCGTTATTAAGTATCCAGAAGATAATACTTTAGATTATGGAAATTTGAATGTTAAGCAACAAATTATGAACCTTCAAGCAGCTCAAAGAAGCATAAACAAAAAAAATGAAGATGTTTCTGATGCAAAATATTCAAAACCAAATATCAAAAATATTCCACCTCAATTAAAAGAAGGTACATTAATTATCAATACAATATTTCAACAACAAGACTAATTTTTGACTTTTAAAAGATTATAAGCATGTTGATAATTGGCCAACATCGTCCAAAAAACTTGGAGCAGTAAGCGCAGTTGCGCTTGACGTATACAAAAATGTCGTTGTTTTTCATCGAGGTGACAGAATCTGGAATGCAGAAACATTTGATGCACAAAATGTTTTTAAACAACGGACTTTAGGGCCGATAAAGGAAAATACAATTATTACTTTTGATCGTGATCAAGGAAATATTATTAATGAATGGGGAAGTAATCTTTTCTACATGCCTCATGGCTTGCACATCAATGGAAATTATTACTATATTACAGACGTTGGTAAGAAAATGTGACAAATCTATTAGGATTTATCTTATTTCACATTTATTTCTCAATCTTAGCACTTCATCAAGTTTTCCGTTTTGACATCAAAAATTCTACAAGAAGGCCTGATTTAGTCCTTGGAGATCCGTTTAAGCCATCAATGACATCAAAAACATTCTGTAAACCAACTTCTGTTGTACAATTAGAAAACGGCGACTTTTTTGTTGCAGATGGATATTGCAACGCAAGAATTATTAAATTCAACTTTAAAGGAGAGAAAATTTTAGAAGTAACAATGTTTAATAATCTTTTTCTTAATATGTATCGGTGCTTAACTATAACTATTTTTAGTGGGGAAGAAATTCATTTTCTGGAGAAATTTCTAATGGTCCAGAACCACCTAATAACTTTGCTATCCCACACGCTTTGACTCTTGTCCCTTCGAAGGAATTACTTTGTGTTGCTGATCGTGAAAATGGTCGCATTCAATGGTAACATGAATATAATATGAGTATAATATGTTCGTAGTTTATAATAATATTTTTTCTACAGTTTTTACTGGTCTGATGGAAAGTTTTATTCCCAATATCATAGCAAAATTGTAGGAGATAGGGTTTTCAGGTAAGCGCTCTATAACAAATGATGACAAATTTCAATAAATACACCTTTTTTTTTAAGTGTTGATTACGCAAATGATTCATTATTTGTTGTTAATGGTCCAGAAGATGTGCGTAATAGAGATGTAGCTGGATATATTTTTGATATGAACTCAGGAGAAGTTAGTGGAAAATTTGGCACATTTTTAGATCCCCATGATATTGCTGTCACCCCCGATGGCAGAGAAGTAAATATATGATTTGAATTCTGCCAAGAAAACAAGTTTTTTGATGAGGTTTTTAAAATTTTTTGTAGATATATGTTGGTGACTTATCGCCTGATAACACTGGAAGTAGAATTCACAAATATTTGCTTAATGGGATTAAGCCAACAATAACACGTGAAGGTATTTATTGGCATGAATAATTTGTTTTTTAGTTTTGGTCTCTGGCTTAGTTTAACTGCATGATTTATAAAGCTTCTGTTTGTTTTGTGATTTTATGTTGAATAAGAATAAAATATATCAATTGTTAATATAACTTTTAGGTGATTTGATAAATACAATACCAACAACTAAACTGCCAATGCGCCGTGGTGAGACAGCATTGATTGTTGGATCAATTGTGCTACTGTTTGCTGTATTTACAGTTGGTATAGCGATTTTAATTTCGAAACGTAAAAGGAGAGGTAATGAAGAAAACGAATACCATTCATTAATGACAAAGTAAATATATGTAAAGTAAAAATAACAAGAAACAAAAACGATAAAATGAACAAATAAGATCTAGAAGTCCTATGATCTAATAATCTGAATACCATTGAATCTGAAGTAACTTAATTCATCACAATATATTTATAAATATAAAACATTTAATTTATGTCAAACATACATCTTAAACAAATTAATGTTGAAATTTTTAAAAATATTTCAAAAGTCACTGCAAGTGACTACACTATCTTATTGAATCATCAATCTATCTATGCCAATTGAAGAAAAGAAAATTAAACTTTATTCGTATTGCACATGTTTTACATTCATAATTGTATCATATAATATAATATTCTTCTGTATGGTAATAATATAAGAAATTTGTGTACTGACATATGTGTCGAATTTCAGGAAAAAAAATTGTTGGGCACCTTAAATTTCCTTGGGAAAGAGCAGACTCAAAAAAACTATTTTACAATGAATACAATCAATTCGAAAAAATTCCTCAAAATGATGATTCCACATCTGATAATCAAAACGAATTTGCTTAGTTCTGTTTCAATTTCTTCTCATTTTGTTTCAGTTTTTTTTTTATTATTATTTTCTATTATCAATTTATAAATTATAATTTAAAATTTCTCAAATGTGATTAATTTGATACAACTTACTGTGTACAAAATATATTTTTCAGTATTAAATGGATTAAATGTATAAAACTATCTAAACATTCTTGTTTGAAATATATTAATTGAAAATGTAATAATATATGCAAAATCTAAATAATTTTTTTAGAATATCAAGACTAATGTAAAAATAATGCAATTATTAAACTTTATCATCGGAAATAAAGTTATTTATGCTAAAAAGAATAATGCTTTTTCTTCTTCAAAAGAATTTTACAAAGAATAAAAGAAATTGGAAGTAAAGAACCATTTCAGTTACTTGATATTTGAATAAAAATACATATTCGACAATGGGTGATGTGAATTATTGTGGATGATTTTGCAGGTTTCCTATTCGACGTTCTCAAATTCGGGAGAAAAATAAAATGAAAACAAATTAAAACCCATTTTAAGTGTTTTAAATTGCAAATCTTACAAAAAAATTTTATTCAAAGTTTTTATAAGTGAGTGCTTTATGTTTTCCACTATTTTTATGGGTGTAAGATTTCGAATTTATAGATGAATTTTGAAGAAAAAGTCATGCTATAGGATTATATATAGCAGAAAAAGCGCCCTCTATATAATATATTGAATTACATACAACATAGCTTACACAAATTTTTATTTAAACACTGTTTAATAGAAAACGACTGTATTAACTACTTAAATATGTTTTAAAAAGTGAAATATAGTGAATAAATTACGTGAAATTGAATATAAAAATTGCTAAAATAGTTAGCAAAATTCTAAAAAGAAAGAAAAATATTGATAGGATATATTAATATCAAAGGAACCAGCCATTACAGAGTAAATATATAGAAAATCAAAATATGAGTAATAAAAGTTGGTGCAATACTAGTGAGATAAACATGAGCAGTTTAAGGCTTTTCACAATTTCGCTGATTTTTCTGTCGCTATGGACAACTGGAGTGTTAGCAAATGATCAGGTAATTTTTTTAAATTCCGTGGAAAAATCATGATTCACTCGCCCATACATGTTTTCCTTTGATGTTTATAAATGTGTGCATATGTGTACACTTTATATAAATTTTTTCTCTCGTTCTCTCTCTCTCTTAAAATTCCTTCAAATAGCTACCGATGGTTCATATATATAATTACTGCTTTGAATTATAAACTTCTATAAATATATAAATGAATGAAAAAGAGATATAAACATATGATATGTCTGTATATTTTCCATCTCATCTGTATCAATTCATTTTGATCATCATATAAACAATTCTTTTGAACAGATAAGATTCATCATTCTTTCTACATTTTTAGAATAACAATTTTATTCATTAAATCATCAAAGCTACTGTACGCATTATAAACATTTTGTTTTTTGATAGGATTTTGCAAATTTAAAAGCTAATAATGAATTATCACATTAAATTGTCTTATATGAATAAATTTCATAAAAGGAGTCAATAAAATATTTCAATACTTATTATTATTGTCAATATAACGAATTATTGTGGTTGAACATTCTTATTTTTTATCGAAAGTTATTGCTTGCAATTAATAGTATTGCTTCCTGTCTTAAAAGAGTTGTTATTAATTAATAAAAAAGAAAACATTTCTAATACGTTTTAAAGTAACTTATTAGGTTTTTGAATGAATTTTCTTGTACTACATCAAATAGATTAAATTAAAATCCAAAAAAATGTGTGCATATATTGTACATTTTTCTGCCAGATATGTGTGTTTCTATTATTTTCTCAATTTTCCATATCAGACTGTTACATTGTCTTTTATTGTGACTTATTGGGTGCTCAAAAGGAAATCACGTTTTCGAATTATTTTCGATAGATGCCCGTTGTGAATGAAAATATCTATTTGATTTTTTATTTGTTTTTCTACCTGAATATATATATATTGTATTTTTAATGTGTGTATGTATGCGATGCAGATTCTCACTCTTCAACTTATTCTTTCTTTTTTTTCTTTTTTATTTTCATTTCCTATCTATCAGCATTAAGCACATTAACAATATTAAATATTATCATCTGTTTAATTATAAAGTAAACAAAATTAGTTGATTGCTTCTTAAATTAACGTTTGTTTTTGCTGATATATTTCATGAGTTATTTGCAATTTCAAATCTCTTCGGAGAATAAAAATATGGCAAGACAAACTTTATTGATTTTTACTCCAAAAATGAATTTTAAAAAGACATTTTATGTTGTCTCTACATATTTAATCTATTAAATTTATAAAAGTGACGTTATAAAAAGATTTGCAAGCATGCAAATGAAAATGGGAAAAATTAAAAGATTTACGGGTTCATATAGAAATTCATACAATTCTCTTACATATTGTTGTCACTTAACATTGCTAATGCGTAAACAAAAATATATAATAAAAATACAAATTGCGGAGAAGAGAAAAAAATATTGAGATTTAATGTTTTTGTTACTTTCATACGGAAAATTTTCATGTTTTTGAGAGAGAAAACGAGAGAAATTTCCACGAAAAAAGAGAGAGAATGTATTTTCATGCCGATTGTTAGATTTTTCGCATAGCAGTTTTTCTCAATTTTTCATAATAGTTTCGACTGTTCTTGCAGAAAGTTACTATAGATTATTTGTTACAGGTGCCCTTAAAAAAGTCTCAAGAGACAAATTCTCGTCACACTGAAAAAATAGAATAAAACTTTTTTTATAAAATTTATTTTTACAGAGATCAAAAATAAGCGCTTTATCAGATTCAACGGCTGAAAAATTGCAACAAAATAAATATAATAATAACAAAGATATTTATATCGATAATGATGATGAATTTGAAGGAAGTGGTCGAAAAGGCGAGGTAAGTTAACTTTTTATGGAGTCCTTTTTATTTTAAATCAATAATTCGAAATGTAAATAGATAAAAGTGAAATAATTTATACTAGAATTTGCTTATCATACACAATAAAACAGAAACTCCACCCATGTCGATTTAATTGAGTATTTTTTTTAACATTGTCTTACTTGTATTTTTGACGTCAACGTTTTTGATCGTTTTTGTATTAATTGTCTTAAAAAGTTTTAATTTCACATATTTTGACTCTCAACTTTTAATGCATTAAAAATATAATAATATTTTGAGATTTAAATTAATGGAACTATATTAAAATTATTAATCGTTTAAGGTTCACGATGCTTTAGAGAACGAAAATGATGACATTGACGGGTCAGGATCAGGTTATGGTGGCGATGATGAAGATGACGATATCCCAACATCATCTAAAGACAAACCGCACATAAAACTAGATTCTCCTACAAACAATCTACATCATTCAGGTGATGGTTCAGATCATCACATTGATGATACAGATGATGATACAGATGATAAATTTCATGAGGATCATATTAAACCGATCCATAATGTCGAAGAGGATGACGATAATCTTTACTTTGAAAACAATTCGACAGACACTGAAAAAACAATCAATCCTACAACTACAGACGATGAAGAGAGTCAGTTGATTTTCCTTTATTATTTATTATCATTTGCTTATGTTTCCTTACTTTTATAAAATTCTCTTTCATTTGATATTGGAGTTTTCCTAAATTTATTCAATTTTAAAAATTTCATTTTGCAATTTTTACTCGATTCCGTTTCGTATTTGTTATATTTTGTTTTGTTTTATATTTTTTTCGGGTTCAAATGATTTATCACAAACACCCAATTTATACACAACCAAAAGTGCTTTTGAAAATTTTTATTAATATTAAATGATGATACGAAGAAAATTATTGATTTTCTTTTATCCTTCTTTAATTTTAGTTGTTTTTTATTAGCACTAGACTCACAATCAAATATACACTTTTGCAATTATATGCAAAATTTTTCATGATTTCTCTTCAAAATACATTTGATACTATGTGTTTGATTTCAATTATTTATTATTTTTTAAATAATTAAATATTACTTCTCTTCTTAATACCTACTATAAAAAGAAACATATTGACACTATTTGCTCGAGCGAAATTGAGATTTACTTGAGATAAGATTCTGATGAAATCAATGTGATCTACCGTTTATAAATATATATATATAATAATCATCCAAATGTGATTCATTTTTATTTCATGTAATTTTTTTAATCTCATAAAAGATTTTCATCATTAAAATTTCCCGATAATCTCTTGTCATCATATCTTTTTATTCGTTCATTTTTTTGTTTTCATTCTGTAACTTATCATAGTTATTACTTCATTATATTTTATTTTCATTTATTACCATTCACTCATAAAAAAATTATATATATAACACACAATGTTGAATAATTCATTTGTGCATGAATAGTTAATACTTAAGCTAATTCTTATGTTAATTACTAATGAGTTATTTCTAAATAAATAGTTGGCGGTGGAGAAACAAGAAGAAAGGATAACGATTTCACAAGTAAAGGATCAGAAACGTTTGAAACCAACCCAACAAATCACGTTCCAGAATCACCAACCGATACAAGTAGTGGCTCTGATAATGTATTAATAATGAATACATCTAATGAAGATCGCACAACGAGCTTTTTCGCTCAACCTGGAATTCTAGCAGGTAAGACATTTTGTCAAATAGAATGTATTTATCAGATTGTATGAACATTAATTGTTTTTTTTTATTATTAAAGCTGTCATTGGAGGAGCCGTTGTAGGCTTGTTATTTGCCATTTTAGTTGTGATGTTTATCGTATATCGTATGCGAAAGAAGGATGAAGGTTCATATGCACTAGATGAGCCACAAAAAAGATCGCCACAAAATAATTCATATACTAAAAATCATAATAATCGGGAGTTTTATGCATGAAACGTAGACGATTCTCGGTACTAAGAGTATTTACATAAATCAAAGAATTAAAAATTTACACGTTTGCAAGCGTAAGTAAAAGAATAAGTAAAAAAAACTGGAAATATCTATAAATGTTAAAATTTAATATTTACAAGAAAGGTTAGAAAATACGCCTAGCAGTTGAATGTATTCAGGATAAGAATTAATTAGACGGTTGAAGTCTCTTAACAAGCTCCTTTTTTTTGATTAAGAATGAAAGTTTTGCTGACTTTTCTAAAAAAAATATATAATGTACGAAAAAAAAATAATTATAGAATTAATACAAAGATAAAAAAAAAACTTTCTTTGCAGTAAATTCATTGCTGCATTAGCTGTTTTATCTGAAGTTATTTAAATAACGATGCAAGTGGTAATACATAAACTAGAAAATTATATCTAATGATAATCAGTTTTAAAAAATGGAATATCTTTAATACGAGAAGAATTATTATGAAAATGATGAGAAAAATTGTCATATTAGATTTTTAAGGAATATTGTTTTAATGGGGATAATTTTCTACTAGTTACATATATATTATAAGTAATATATACAGAACTTCGAGATTGATGATTCTCGATTCAAGAGAAGAATTCAATTAATAAAAAAAAATTAAATTTAAATCAAAAATGAAGAAAAGATTCGGGATAGGAAAGGTTTAAGAGTGTATTAATAATGAGATAAGAGTAATACTAGATGCTACTTATGCTGCATCACTTTTCAATTCAAAGGTTGGCTTCTAACGACTATAACAATTTAATTATAATCGCTAATATTTTTATTTAATTGAAAAGTCCATTATGAGCAAATTAAATTACGTATTCTCCGTCGTAATTTGGAGAAGCAGTTGTCCTTAATTTTCGCCCAAAAATATAAGAAACAAATTTCAATCTTTTTACTGTGCATTACATTTTGTTTTTTTACGACTTCTGTTTAATTTTTCTTAACTTTTTACACTGATCGATCAAAAAAAGAGGCTTGCTATCTTTAAGTTATGCTTAATTTAAAAAATGGCAACTTAATGATAGCAATTTTTTTTAAAACCCAAATGAAAAAATACTTTTCTGAATAATCTAGTTGATCATGAAATTTGGAATTAAATATCTGATTATTTATGAAAAACAAGAAAATAATTAATGAGTCTATCGAACGAAAACTTTGATTTGGGTAGAATTTTGTTACTCGTGCTGAATTACTATCCTAGTACCTTTAAAATAAAGAAAATATGACAAAATAATGCAGAATAAAAAAATTAATGTAATACATAGATAAAGTAACGTTTGAATCTTGTACACATATAGAAAACTTTTGGAAGATTTTCTTCTTAAGGAGATGGAGATTCTTTTTTTGGAATGTGCAAGTTTTAAAAAGCACTAAATGGAATAGTAAACTAATTCCTGGTATAATGTAAAAGAATCAAAATTTTACAACATTGGTTTTCCATTTCCGTAACTGAAGAAATATCAGCAAAATTAATTTCATTCATAAATTTCATAAAAACGATAAAAACTAAATTTTTGTTCTTATATTTTAAAGAAATCCTGTGGCAGAAAAAATAATTAATTTAAATGCAAAAAACTATGCATTTGCATAGAAGAAGAGAAAAGAACATAAAATATGTAAAGACTGAAGCATCTAAAGATTTATATTTATGATGTCCAAAATGTTTTCTTTATTTAAAACAAAAAATAAGGGCTTTTAATTGCACATTATTAATTTTATAATTACCAAATAAACAATTCTTCCAAAATAACATGAAATATTTATAATTTAAAGCACTTTATCTTTTTTTTAAAACACAGGTTCTAATATGATAACGAACAAATTCTTTCCAACTTTTTATTAAATGCTCAATAGCTAAAACATTTTTTTATAATGTGGTATTTTACTTCAGTAATAAACTTTATTTGCTTATTTTTACATTCAGTGTCCATTATAACTGAATCTGTGTAATATGATAAATTTAATGGACTAAAATCTATTTAAAATATTTTTTTGAAAGAAAAAAATTTAAAAGTCAAAAATACGTATACATTTTTAGCTTTTTAATGGACGTGCCGTTTTTGTTTAAATGCATTACATTAAGTATCTCAAAATTCCTCACTTGTTCAATAGTGTAGTTCTAGTTGATTTAAATATATCACATTATAAGTATTTATAGTTTAAGTGCCATCCAAACTGCAGCTACAAGAGAAGAAAATATTCAGTTTTAGGACATTCCGAAATGCATTTTTGATTTTTGTCTCATATATAATCTCAATGGATTAATAAGCTAAAATGAAAAATGGAAGATTTTGGAATATAATATTTTATATAAAATAAAAGTAAAAGCAATTGCTAAGTTCAACCAATTAAGAAACTAAAAATTCTCATTTATAGACGATTTTTTTGTCTTCGTTTTGCTTTCTTTTCCTTACCAAAACTCAATTTTTTTTACAAAAAATAAATTCAAACATATATTGCATATAAAAGTAATGAAAATTAACAAATATTAATAATAATGAAGTAATTAATAAATTATGCTTGATCTGAAATGTTTAAAAATTATTTTCAATAATGTACAAGCATAGGAAAATATGAATCGTTGTACATAATTCAAAAAAAGAAAACCCTTAATAAAAACCATTTAATGAAATCAAAAATTGATCTGTAAATTCTTATTTTAAATATTCTATCTCAAAATCGTCTTCACTGATAACTTTGTACTTAACATTTCTATAAGATGTAAAATGTTTTAATCGACTATGATGAGCATGAGCATGCATTTTGACTATACATGACATGATTGGACTTATGCTAGCCTTTTGTGACAGCTTATTGTAATATTCAAGTTGTGCATCGTGTTTATGTCCTAAATAATGACCCTTCCTGGAACTCAATCCTTTGTCCCATCTCTGCTGTAAATCTGAATCCATTTCTTTTAACATTTCATCTTTTGAGGGTAAATTTTTCTTTCCCATCATAAAGGTCAAGCAAAATTCGACTTGAAGTTGAAACATTTGGTTAGGACATATGAGATTTGGAAGGCCTATAAATCCTAAAGATGGATTATTTATGCATAAACAATGCATCCAAAGTGGTTTTACATAATCTCCTCCCAACACACCCGAATCAATTGACAAAAACGGATAAGAATACAAATATCCAGTAGCGTAGATGATTAAGGAACATTCAGCAAACGTCCCATCTGAAAATTTCACACCGTCCGATACTATTTCTAATATATCAGACTTCTCTTCAACATTTCTTTCAAATTGTGTCATATCAGGTGAAGGACTTAAGTGATGTGACCATATTGTTGACTTTGAATTTTTAGAACTTTCAATGACTAAATCTACAGCACTATTATTTCCACCAACAATTAGTGTCCTTTCATTATTGAAAATTTTTGAGGATCGATAAGTATGAGAGTGCATTATGTTTCCTTTAAATATTTCTTGACCCTTACTTTTAGGGATGTATGGTGTATGGAAATGACCACTACATACCAAAACTGAATCAAAAATATATGTCACAAACATATCTCTTGGTAAGTTTTTTACAATAACCTCCCACTTATCGTTTGAAAGAGGTCTAATCCGAAATACATGATGTTCAAACTTAATATGACTTTCCAAATTAAATTTCTGTGCATATCTAATATAGTAGTTTAAAACTACTGCTGACGAAACAAATGACTCATGTTGCTTCGGAAAAGGTTCATTAGGATAGCACATTACTTCAATTGGAAGGTTTGTTACCAAATTTTCATACATGCTTGAATGTATATCTAATCCATAGTCATCTTTGTCAGTTTTATCAGTATAATTCCACAATCCTCCCACTAATTTTGTCTGTTCAAATGCTACAACTTCACATCCATATTCAACAGCATTTTTAAGCGCACATAATCCAGAAGCGCCAGCTCCAATAATTGCTAATTTAATCTTTTTCATGACAATTTTGATTTGTCTACTTTCTTAAAATTTTAAGTCTCATGAGATTTTTGTCTGGAAATAACTGGACTTAAGTGAGCTGTTTTCTTAAAATATGTCATATAATAGCATTTTTGACGTCTTGAGTAAAGCGTTAATTTTTTTAGGAAGAAAATTTATTGATAATATTATCTTAATTAATGAATAATGTCTATTTCATAAATAGATAAAAATTTTAAAGACACCGCGATTAAAAAAAATGCGTTTTTGTCAAATCGCTTTGATATTATGTCAACTTCCACATTCTTATTAAAAATATTTCAATTAATGCTGAATGCCTGACTACGTGATTGCGTAGTTTTTTCGCTCACTTATGAAAAACTTCAGAATTCTGAACATACAATGAGCATACTCAGAGCATATTATTTTTAAGCTTACTAGTTCTTATGAGAATGTCCTCATTTTCATACATTAAATGATGCGATCATAACAAAAATTGCATGAGGAAATGATGGTAGAGCAGGATCATCGACAAGTGCAAATGAATTTATTGCGTTGTGATGGTTTTTGTTGTAGGCAAATCGTAGGCATGTTTTCTGTCAACCATTTTACATTGACTGGATTTTTTTAATAGTCACTTTATGTATTTTTACAATTAAAACAAAATGGAACTGTTGACGGTCTTTTTAGAAATTGAAAAGCTAGTAGCTTAGTAAAATAAAAAAAAGATTTTTTTTAGTAGAAGCTAGTAGTTGAAGCTAGTAGCTTAGTAATGAGCAGTTTCGTATTAAAACTAGTGTATCGGGTAGAAACTAAATGCGGATTATATTCACACCGTACCATCAACAGTCTTATGGATAGACCAAGCATAAGTATGAAAGTATGAAGCTTGATAAGTCAACTGAGCTTCGCTCAGCATAAGTTTGAAGTTTTTAAGCTAGCGAGTCAGCTGAGCTTCGCTGAGCAAATGCTTGAAGGTTTAAAGCTTCAACCTAAATACCTGATATGTAAAAGTTTGTGCCTCAAAATACCTATCTAATGGTGAAAACAATTTTTCATTTGGCAGTTCCAGTTCCGAGAAATCGCAAAAAAAGGCATTCTGTTAGTTAATCGGTGCGATAACTCGATTCAAACTCAATATTAAGACTTCCGGTTTTTTGCTTCTGATAGATAATGGCTATCGCAAGAACTGTATTGTTTTTGGAGTCATAAGATGCTTCCAGTGAGGCACAAGATGCATAAACATTTTTGTATGAGAAAAGTTTAACCGATTATTACACAACATATTTATTTTTTGTTTACAACGGAAATATTTGTTGGTAGTAGTTTGATATTAATAAAATGGTTGTGACAGTATGCACTAAGTTAAATGTATTTGAAAAAATGTTGGAACTAGCGAGTTCCTTCACAAGGTTCAGCTTACTGGATCTATGTTATTGAATACATACTTTACTTGTATCATAATGGAAATATGTTTTTGGTTCCAGAATTGATTTTTTTCTTGCTGTATACTTACTGGATCTTGGTTCCAACGATAGCACAATTTCAATTTCAATTTTAGTGGACTGGATTTAATTTTTAATGACAAATTAAATAATTATTTAACCAAATTTTCACAATGATCTCTCAATTTCAACAAATTTTCAAAGTTCACTAAGAACTTTTTCTTATTTCTCAATTATAAAAAAAAATTTAAATTGAAATAGTCAAAGCCCACTTAGAACTTTTTCTCATATTTTACTGGATCATGGTTTCAAGTTTTAGACATGCTTAAAACTTTACTGGATCATGAACATTTGTTGCAGACATGATTAAACCTTTACTGGATCTTGCATTCAAGCTTCAGACATGATTAAAACTAAACTGGATCTTGGCTCCAAGTTTCAAAAATAATCAAAATGATAATTTGTTATAGAGATGATTAAAACCTTACTGGATCATTGTAATTTGTTGCAGACATGATTAAAACTTTACTAAATCTTGGTTTTAAGTTTCAGCCATGATTAAAACTTTACTGGATCTTGGCTCCAAGTTTCAAAAATAATCAAAATGATAATTTGTTGCAGACATGATTAAAACTTAACTAGGTCTTGGTTTTAAGCTTCAGACATTCTTAAAACTTTACTGGATCTTGGTAATTTGGAGCAGAAATGATTGAAACTTTACTAGATCTTGGTTTTAAGTTTCAGATATGATTAAAACTTTACTGGATCTTGGTTTCAAGTTTCAGACATGCTTAAAACTTTACTGGATCATTGTAATTTGTTGCAGACATGTTTAAAACTTTACCGAATCTTGGTTTTAAGTTTCAGCCATGATTAAAACTTTACTGGATCTTGGCTCCAAGTTTCAAAAATAATCAAAATGATAATTTGTTGCAGACATGATTAAAACTTTACTGGATCTTGGTTCCAAGTTTCAGACATGATAAAAACTTTACTGAATCTTGGTAATTTGGTGCAGACATGATTGAAACTTTACTGAATCTTGGTTTTAAGTTTCAGCCATGATTAAAACTTTACTGGATCTTGGCTCGAAGTTTCAAAAATAATCAAAATGATAATTTGTTGCAGACATGATTAAAACTTTACTGGATCTTGGTTCCAAGTTTCAGACATGATAAAAACTTTACTGAATCTTGGTAATTTGTTGCAGACATGATTGAAACTTTACTAGATCTTGGTTTTAAGTTTCAGCCATGATTAAAACTTTACTGGATCTTGGCTCCAAGTTTCAAAAATAACCAAAATGATAATTTGTTGCAGACATTCTTAAAACTTTACTGGATCTTGGTTCCAAGTTTCAGACATGATAAAAACTTTACTGAGTCTTGGTAATTTGTTGCAGACATGATTAAAACTTTACTTGATCTCGGTTTTAAGTTTCAGACATTCTTAAAGCTTAACTGGATCTTGATAATTTGGTGCAGACATGATTAAAACTTTACCAGCTCTTGTTTCCAGGTTTTAGATATGCTTAAAACTAAATGGATCATTGTAATTTGTTGCAGACATGTTTTAAACTTTACTGAATCTTGGTTTTAAGTTTCAGCCATGATTAAAACTTTACTGGATCTTGGCTCCAAGTTTCAAAAATAATCAAAATGATGATTTGTTGCAGACATGATTAAAACTTTACTGGATCTTGGTTCCAAGTTTCAGACATGATAAAAACTTTACTGAATCTTGGTAATTTGTTGCAGACATGATTAAAACTTTACTAGATTTTGGTTTTAAGTTTCAGATATGATTAAAACTTTACTGGATCTTGGTTTCAAGTTTCAGACATGCTTAAAACTTTACTGGATCATTGTAATTTGTTGCAGACATGTTTAAAACTTTACCGAATCTTGGTTTTAAGTTTCAGCCATGATTAAAACTTTACTGGATCTCACAATGATTCAGATTCGGAAAAAATGTTCAAAAATTCCTTGTGCACAATATTTTTCCGACACATTAGAAAATTGAAAGTTTTTGATAATTTATCTTAATTTGGTTCTTTTAGCATCTTCTACATAATGTTTTCGTTCATCGCTCAAAAAATCAGTCCTTAATATAAAGGTTTTTACCAAAATTTGTAAAAGTTTATCAAAAAATATTGTGCATGATCTAATTTTGTATAGAAATTTATGTAAACTTTGATCGCAAATATCTCGAAATCGGCATCAAACGGCATGTCCACATCAATGTGGGAGATAGATTTAAGCTTAATTGATCGATTTTTATAGGTTTCAGTAAGGTCTTTGGAAGACTTTGAACTTATGAAAAGTTTAAGTTTTGTAAAAATACTCAAATTTCAATTGGACTTTTAAGACTTAATAAGCAGTTTTTTATTGAGTTGGTTGTTTTAATATGTAAAGTTAAGCTTAAATTAGCTAGCAACTGCTTCCAAGACATCCAAATAACAACTTAAAGTAGAAGAAATCATATTTTTTTTTCACACTCAAATTGTAAACAAATTTTGGGTGAGATTAAAATAATGATTTCTGGAGTTAGACAGCAACTAGGAACGAGATATTTTTACTGAATATGCCTTAAGTTTAGATCCTTAATCTGGCATTTAAAAGACAAATTTTAATTAACATGAAATTTTTGAATTTTTAAACATTTTTTTTCGATTCTGAATAATTGTGGATCTTGGTAATTTGGTGCAGACATGATTGAAACTTTACTAGATCTTGGTTTTAAGTTTCAGACATGCTTAAAACTTTACTGGATCATTGTAATTTGTTGCAGACATGTTTAAAACTTTACCGAATCTTGGTTTTAAGTTTCAAAAATAATCAAAATGATAATTTGTTGCAGACATGATTAAAACTTTACTGGATCTTGGCTCCAAGTTTCAAAAATAATCAAAATGATAATTTGTTGCAGACATGATTAAAACTTTACTGAATCTTGATTCCAAGTTTCAGACATGCTTAAAACTTTACTGGATCATTGTAATTTGTTGCAGACATGATTAAAACTTTACTAAATCTTGGTTTTAAGTTTCAAAAATAATCAAAATGATAATTTGTTGCAGACATGATTAAAACTTTACTGGATCTTGGCTCCAAGTTTCAAAAATAATCAAAATGATAATTTGTTGCAGACATGATTAAAACTTAACTAGGTCTTGGTTTTAAGCTTCAAACATTCTTAAAACTTTACTGGATCTTGGTAATTTGGAGCATACATGATTGAAACTTTACTAGATCTTGGTTCAAAGTTTCAGATATGCTTAAAACTTTACTGGATCATTGTAATTTGTTGCAGACATGATTAAAACTTTACCGAATCTTGGTTTTAAGTTTCAGCCATGATTAAAACTTTACTGGATCTTGGCTCCAAGTTTCAAAAATAATCAAAATGATAATTTGTTGCAGATATGATTAAAACTTTACTGGATCTTGGTTTCAAGTTTCAGACATGCTTAAAACTTTACTGGATCATTGTAATTTGTTTCAGACATGTTTAAAACTTTACCGAATCTTGGTTTTAAGTTTCAGCCATGATTAAAGCTTTACTGGATCTTGGCTCCAAGTTTCAAAAATAATCAAAATGATAATTTGTTGCAGACATGATTAAAACTTTACTGAATCTTGATTCCAAGTTTCAGACATGCTTAAAACTTTACTGGATCTCACAATGATTCAGATTCGGAAAAAATGTTCAAAAATTCTGAAAAATTTATCTTAATTTGGTTCTTTTAGCATCTTCTACATAATGTTTTCGTTCATTGCTCAAAAAATCAGTCCTTAATATAAAGGTTTTTAGCAAAAGTTTGTAAAAGTTTATCAAAAAATATTGTGCATGATTTAATTTTGTATGAAAATTTATGTAAACTTTGATCGCAAATATCTCGAAATCGGCATCAAACGGCATGTCCACATCAATGTGGGAGATAGATTTAAGCTTAATCGATCGATTTATATAAGTTTCAGTGAGGTCTTTGGAAGACTTTTTAACTTATGAAAAGTTTAAGTTTTGTAAAAATACTCAGATTTCAAT